TCTTATTAAAAACCTAAGCCAGCTTATTAAACGCCCGCGACTTATTAAAAACGCTGGGGGAGAAGTAGATATAAGTACGGCCGAAGGACTCCCCCAAGGAAAGGAGACAACTACTTGAATTACAGCTCAACTTGGCCACAACAATGTCTTTTCGTCCTTCTGGATGTGAGTACACTTGAGTGAAGCGCGCCAAATTGAATTTGTAAGGCGATACTTTCTGGAAAATAAAAACAAAGAGGGGTTTCAGCACCAGAAGGGTTCCCTGCCAGTATATCTTATCAATAAAGTTGCTACTCTGGAGGACAGATACAAACCAATGCAGCAATAAGAACGCACTCTCTGTTTGTTTTTTAGAGGGCATCACTTCCGCAAACAAATGCGGTGAGAAGTTCCGATTGATGATCCATAGGTTTCTCACAGTAGCCAATTAAGGGGCGTCTGGTCCTTCAATTATCCGCGGTGCCGCACGCTCCGCTATCTTTAATGCCATTTTGGCGAGCCGCAAATGCTTATCCTGTAATCCTTTGGATAAATATTAAATTTCAATTACACCATTTAACATATTATTAGCCACCGATCGGCACTATCATCATCTTTGGGCAGGTCACGTGCCGTCGAGGAGCTGATAGCAATCTCCGCAAAAGCGAACAACCGCAACCCTCAATTTCTGCAGATACCGGAGTGGTGACAGCCCGCAAAGGATGCGACTGCAATTTTATCAGATTATACATGTCGGCGGAGTCCCCCGGGAGTCCTCCTGTCCTCCACATCCACCCCTTGGTCCTCCTCAACAGGTGAGTGAGTCCGGCGAAACTTTGTGTGAGAATTTTTCGGCCTTTCCCGATTCTGCTCCCCTCTCCATTTCTCCATTTGTATCGGGTTACCTTGCTTCACCCGATTGGCGCTGTGATTTGTCGTTCCCGACAATTCTCATGAAATGAATTTGAAACGGTGTGTCCAGGATGGATATCAGCTGAATTAAAACAATTATTCCAGATTCAGTTCATTTCTAGCCCAAATGTTCAGTTACATCTGCTTTTAACAGCCGGTTGCCAATGCTGTTATAGTTTACAGGGTCTGTTAATATTTAGGGTGAACCAGATATGCGTATTTGTAATGAGTAATAAATGTGAGAAAATAACTGCTATTAAAATGCATTCAATGAGGTGCTCTTCTAAAAATAAAATTAAGGTAACCGCAAATATTTAAAATTTATTTAAAGTATTTAATTTACTTACTAATTGTATCCCTCAATTAACAACTGAATTAGAGAGGGTTTGATTTAATTCATGTTACTGAATTAGTGAATAGTATGAAGCGCACCATTTAATTATATAAAATCATTTTTATTGAGAAATCTTAGGCTACAGTAAACTCCCCCTTAAAAACAAGAAAAGTAAATCAGTTAATTGTGCACTGGCTCTCAGCAGAGACTGCGGCCAATCATCTAGATCTTGGGATCCTGGGGCGTGAGCTTGGCGATCTTCACGGACTCCTCCCAGATCTTGAGACCCTTCTCCTCGTCGAGGGCAGCAGCATTGAGGGTGGCCTCCTTGCAGTCCATGAAGTATTTTCCAGACACATTGGCCACCTCATCGGATGTGGCCAAATAGATAGTGGTCTGGGCTCCGGCCTTGGTGGTCTTGAAGAATCCCTTGGTGATGGCCATCATGGGCAAGTTGAGTGGGAAGGGGACATTGCGCCAAATGCCCGAATCGATCATGCCGGGATGCAGGAAGTTCACGGTCACCTTGGTGCCCTCCAGCCTCTTGGCCAGCTCCCGGGCGAAGTAGATGTTCGCAAACTTGGACACGTAGTACAAGTAGGCAGCCGGGAAGGTGCCAATGGGGTTGAGCTTGGCCAGGTTAACCGAAGACAGGCGGTACAGCTCCGAGGCTACGATCACAATGCGAGCCGGCGCGCTCTTCTTCAGCACATCGATGAGCAGGTGCGTCAGCAGGAAGGGTCCGTAGTGGTTGGTGGCCATGGTCAGCTCCACGCCATCCTCACTCGTCTGGCCGCGGAAGGCCAGTGCCATGCCGGCATTGTGGATCAGCACATCGATCTTGGACTCGGTCTTCACAATGTCAGCGGCGAACTCCCGGACGGACTTCTGGGAGCCCAGATCCAGTTTCTTGACTAGGATCTTGTTGTTCTTCGTCTCCTTGACGATTTCATCTGTTGGAAAACCAACAATTAATTACAATGTTCAGTTTAAGCAGTTCCCATTTTGGTAATATACGAGTTTACCACAACTATAGTTCATTTTAAGATACCTTCCCTAAATATTTTCTGAAATTTCGACACTTAAAACTTAAATAATTCATTTAAGGTTTGAGTTTAATAATAATATGTAGGAATAAGGTTTTACGAGAGTTTATAATCAACTGTCAAGAAACCTGTTCTCTCAATTTGGCCGTGTTGCGCATCCTTCCAAATCCTTGGCATATTTTAGTCCACTTACCCTTCACTGCATTGGCAGTCTCCAGGTTCCTGCAGGCCATGATGATGCGGGCTCCACGTCCTGCCAGATCCTTGGCCGTCTCCTTGCCAATTCCGCTGTTGGCACCTGTGATAATAACTGTCTTGCCCTCCATCTTTGTCTGTAATCAGTGTCGGAGGTTAATCATTTAATACGGCACTGCGATCGAAAATAGGTCGAGGGCGGTTCGGAAATATGTTTACAATAGTAATTAGTAGGTGCTTGGCTACAGTCACAGTAATTGCAGTTCGTCTGGAACGGAAGCTATCTTAGTTTTCAGACCCATCAACGAGAGCTTTCTGTGAATCAGTGGTAAGCGATCTGCCAGATTGTAACCGAGATACTAAAGCTTAGATGTTTTGTGGGATCCGGAGAACGTTCGGTCAGGTGGTAATCGTACCTCAGAGATGTGACGTATCTCGCCTCTCAGAAGGTATCTAATTAAATCTGTAATTAAGTCGACGCGTCACAACTGCCCAGTGTAATAACAAGATTGAGGAACGTTAAGCGGTGATTTCATATATAGTCAAAAGATTTCCATAGTTGGAATGTTTGACATGCTACAGAACCGTCTTAATTTTATGGGGTTTTTCCAGATAGTGATATCCCTTGAAGCTTTTCAATGGACCGCTAATGTTTATCTGAATGTTCGCAATCATATGAATATACATTTTCTCAAAGTTCTGGACGATTATGAGGCTAAGGTCAAATTGAATACCAAACTATTCTTTTTTGTAGAGGTACACATCATTTGTATGGGTGTGGCGACCCCATCTATCAGATCTGAAAAGAATTCGCAGCGGAAGTGGGAGCAACAGCCATAAAAAGTGCGAAATATTCGACTCGCGTCGCGGTTCTGGGGAGCATTTGGCTGGGTTTTGGGTATCTTGGTTACTGGGATTGGGTGTCTGGCGATTGGGGGAGGTGCGTTCGTTACCTCGGTGAAACATCGTCCCGCCGTGATGCGCAGATAGAACCGAATGCTCATCAGGGTGGCCACTATGGCGGCCACTGAAGTCATGAGGAAGATGTCGCGCACATAATGCTCGGTCGACAGCCAACCGAAGATGAAACCCATCCTACAAATATTCCGAGGTGTGTATACTACATATTGTATCTATATATACGTGTATATCGGTGTCAACATGCAAATCAGATTATATAATGTCCGGGCTGCGAAAGCCAGACGATTGTCTTAGGGCATAACCAAACGAGTTTGGTTTTGGGTTTTGGGGTTTCATGGTTTGGGTATATTGGTTAGTCGGCGAAGGTTTTCACAACTCAAATCGTTTATCAGTGGCTGTCAATAAATCGATTTCGAAGACTGTTGAGAAAACTTACACTTTCACTTCCCCACATGTGCGTAATTATGGCTTATTATGATGAAACGCCGAAAAGTAACTCTCAACCAAGTTCATTGACAGCCCAAAAGAAAGAAGGTTAAACACGAAAGAAAGTCTGAAGTTTCATGTTGCTTAGAGTTTCTGGTTTTTTTCTGTTTTTTTTTTTTTCTTTTCTGTTTCTTTCTTCGCTGTCCACGTCACAAAGATTTCCAAGAGCTTTCCTCAAGACTCGAAGACTGGCTCTGGTTACGCTTGCATGCACCATTTAAGAACCCCCGAACCGCGCTCGACAATGCAATCTCGCAAAGAAACAAGATCCGTATGGAAAAGTCTAGACCTGACCCGTTTTCGGTTTTTGTGCCCCAGCTTTTACCGGTCAGAGACCAAATTTTAGTGCTAACTCACCTGTTTTGGCTGTTGGCTGGTCTGTAATTTATTCCAACTTCTGCTGGCCTGCACTTTGGACTATATCTGCGCCGCGAATCGGTGTCGGAATCGGAATAGGAATCGGGGGATCGGATCCAAAAGCTAGTGCCACAACCTTCGCCTTGAACGACTGCTCGGAGACTGAAGTCGGAATTCCGATTATAAAGCCGAGGCTGCGGAGAATGCGCGATCGTCTCCACCGGTTTGGTATTGCCATGGTCGCGGTGATTTTGTTATTGCACTTTACTTTAGCCGTGGTAACAGGTTCCCCGCTTTCTGGGCTCCTCTTTGGGACCGTCTTCATGCGCGGTTCCCTCGCAACGAAAGAGCGAGCGCAGAGGGAGAAAATCTAGATACCAACGGTAAGAGAAAGATCTGGGCAGTGGGCTCCCAGAAAGTGGGTCTAGAAAAGCCACCTGTCGGGGACTTCCCAAAGCTTCCCCGCTAGTTAAATGAAATTATGTAGAAAATAATGGCCAGTAATTAACTTTTACAATAACCAAGACTTTATTGCTACCTTAAGTACTGCATATAAACTACTGTTTATATGCGAAAATAGCTACCTTTAATAGGTACTAGTTCAATTATGCTCCTTAGCATCGTAACAGAGATACCATTGAAATATATCAAAACTATATATTTATTTTATATTTACTAGAGTTCCAATGCAATTAGCTTCATACTTAGCACTTTTACAAATTTAGTACGGCGATAGAGCTCTCATAAAAACTACGGCATTAGTTGTATTCCATTTTATTATAAAGGTGAGATATGCACAAGTACCATAAAGAAGGCTCAACAATCTATCACAAGCTTAGTCTAAGCCCATCTAGTTCGTTGCCTAAGTCCTGTGTACTGTTTATTTGAGAAAGATGATTCCGCTAGAATCATGGCTCAAATATAATTCCGTTGAATGCAATAATGATCGAACATAAATACATATTTACATTAGGTTTTAATGGGGACAGTTTGAACAAGTTCATATCGTAGGACAAATGATTCTACTTCTCGATGCTGTTTTGTCGGCGGGGTCTTTGGGTTTCCGCATCCGTCTCCAAGTGCTTGGTTAAGGTGTTGTACCACTCGTTCATGTGGTTGGATATGATGTTGAAAAAGCGAGAAACCTTCGATTTCACAGTGCTCACGAGAGTTTTGGAAAGGGTAGTCAGACTACGACGTGTACCAGCAGCCTGCGAATTTTTGCTGCTGATCCTCATAATCTTGGATTCCTTTTCCTCGCTGGGTGGGCTGGCATCCTTCTCTGCATCGGGATCCACCTTGTACTCGTAGAAGGTGTACCTTCCTAGGGGCATCATCTCATCGCGATCCGCCTTGTCTATGGCATTGGAGGGCAGTTCATCCAGGGAATCGGTGTTAGGAATGGCACGACGCCTTCTCATAGCTGGTAAGTCCCACCAGGAGGTGATACCTTCATCGGCTGGCTTCTGAGGTAGTTTCGAATGTAAAGAAGGGGTTGCCTTCGGCCCGCCAAAAAGGTCCTGTTTGAGGGACTTCCTGCCGATATTTCCCGACTCCAGCGAACTTTCCCGAATGCCCTCATCGCCTAGAGAAAACTCGTGCTCATGCTCGTTAATGTGGCTGAGGAAATGCTTTCCGAGCTCTTTTTGGGCCTGCAGAAAATCGTTTGCCACGTGACCTAGCCGGGAGTGACGCCTTCTGGCACTTGGCACCGGTTGCACGTCGTCCTCGGGCTCTTCAACAGACTTCGGCTTTTGGGACTGACCGGACTTGGCCATGGTAGCCTTGCTGGAGAAGGGTTCCGGAAAAAGCAGTGAATTCAAGGTGGCTCCCAGATTTAATCGCTTATTCTGCTTGGGAGCCGGTAGGGCCTCAAAGAATTCCGTGGGGAGTAGACGCATCTTGGAACGTCCTTCCGTTTGCTCCGGTTCCTGCTCCTGTTCATCCTCCTTGTCCTCTCTTTGAATGATCTTCATCTGACTCTTGGACTTGATTCTGCGCTTCTTGGGTGGCTCCCGCTCAACTTCCTCTTCGTTTTCCACCTCCCCATCCACACTCTCGATGTGCTTCAGGTGGACATCACCCTCTGGAAGCCTTGTATAAGTGGGTGTTTCCTCGGATTTCTCTCCAATACGCTTGAAGAACTTTTCCTCATCGAACTCATCAAAGTCAAAAAGGGGCTTGCTCTTCCTTTCCGGCTTCCGGATCTCAGTAATCTTCTTGGTCAATGCTGTTTTCTTACCCTGGCGATTGTAGAAGAAGGGCCCGGAATAGCCGGATGTGTCGCGTCTCTCCCGCTTTTTGCCCATGTCACGGGTTTGCTCGAGGACGTGATACAGCCAGGCCAACGCTTTATGGGGTTTAATCGACTGATCCTTGGAGTTGTCCGCTTCATTGCCCACATCCCTCTTCAGCGGACTGTCATCCTTGAAATGGTCCAGTAGTCGATCTAGAAGGAACTGTGGGGTTTCCTCCTTATCAATGACAAATCTCCTATTGCGATTAATGGAACTCTGCACCGACCCTCGGGCAACCGCAGTTTCCTCGATCAACCGCTGGAGTAACCGATCCGCGGAGCTATAGCGGGAGGATCGGCGCTTCTCCTTGGAAGTGGAAGACTCTCCACTCGAATCGCCTGCTTCCATCTCCGTGAACTGGCAGTGTTCCAGATTGACATCGGGCAATACCCAGAAACTCACAGACATGCTGGGCGTGATCAGTTGCAGCGGCTTTGCTGGATCGATGGGTTTGATCAGAGGACGCAAGGTGGTGTTCAAGTGCAAGCGGACATTATTCAGCTGGACCCTTTGATCAAGACCAGTAAGCACATACTGCCAAAGCTCACTACTGCTCAAACTACTGGTACTCTTCACGGTAATCGTGGTTGGCTGTTCCTCCGTATTGACCACCATGAAAGCCAATCCTCCGGATACGGCATTTGCACAATGGGTATACAGCTTGTTGCTCGGGGCAAAGGCGTTCAGAGGTCGGGCTGGGAACACCCTGGAGCCCATGACCTTCTTAAACAGAGCAGTTACATACAGACTGAAGTTGGGTCGCTCGAAGTCCACCAAGTTCATACGCTTAAAGATCACATCGAACCCACTGGCGGCTGCATCTCCCATAGTTTGGGCCCACCGCAATGCAGCCGTGGTCTCGTCGCCCACCAATCTCTGCGAGGATCGCTCCTCCGGCAAGGTCAGCCACAAGGGAACCCGCTGTTGCTGAAGGATGCGCAGGGCAGGATCGCTGTCGTACAAGTAGCTGCCCAAACTGGATTTGGGCAGCATGTTTGCGGGTCTACAGTTAGAACGAAATAATTTTAAGTAATTGGTTTCAATGTAACTTTATATAAGCGTTTAACTTTTTTAGGTTTTTTTAGATCTAAAGTAAAACATCCACTTCCAACCCCACTACTTACTGCGTCCAACCAAAAGCCGTGTTCAGATCCTTGGACATATCAACGTATCTCTTGGTTTCGTCAGCACTGCTTCCAGCTGAGATGTCCGCTCCCATCAGTCGCCAGTCGTCCACATAGGGTTTGAAAGTGTCAGTCATCAGCTTGAGAGTTCGAAGTTCCTGGACATAGTCCTTGGCCCTGGAGGTGCCAAAGTCTGTCCCCAGCTGCCAGATGCAGTCGGTGATGCCAACCATATAGGAAGTGTTCAGGATCTTCAATGTATGCATGGAGTCCCACTCTTCGGGAGCATAAGGAACCGGAATGATCATGGTCCAGTTTACGGCCCTTCAAAGAATAAAGTTCGATGATCAGAAAAGGGTGAGATGCAGTCACCTCCAACTTACCGCGACCACCGATTAAAGCCCTTCCAGATGATCTTGGTGGGATTCCGCAGCCTAGTTGGCGCATTACTGGCGAAGTAAAAATCTCCCACGAACTTGATGTGCGCATCTCCCAGGAGATTGGCCAAATTGGTCACCGCCTTGCGATTCTTACCATCCAGGGCATCGTACAGATCCTCCGGACGAACGGCGAAGCTGACAAACTTTTCGTTCACATCGTTATAAGGACGATTCACATGGAGCTGAACCAGGGTATCCGCGAAACACACTACCACCAGGCCCAAAAGAACCAAACACAAATGCCACATATTTTAATCCAGAATTACGAATAGAAAGACCAAGACCGGAGACCTGCCCGTTGCTCGATGGCTCCACAACTGACCGGAGTTCCACAATGACTACCTCTAAATAAACTCCCCACTCGAGCACTTCCATTTGATTTCGCTGCCCTCCGCAAGAATTTTCCGCTGAGCGCTGCCCTCAATATGATGACCTTCTTGCGATGCACCACCAACGTAACCCAAACCCACATACAAGTGGGCCGTGGCTTGGAATGCTGCGTTTATCAATGAACCATGAGATGACCCAATAAGGTTGGGGTAACTCTGCAGAGGCCATGTTCTTTGGCATCCTCGCTTACGGTCACGGTTTGTTAGAAGTAAGGGAACGTACGTTGTGTCGTTTCCATCAAGAAAACTCTAACCCGTCTCAATTTTTTTCAGCTGACAAGGTTTCTCACACAAAGTTTAGTGTTACGAACCAATCGTTAACAGCAACCACGGTAATGCTCTTAGGAGGTTAAATATTATGTATAATACATAATATACACTCGTAGAGTAAAAGGGTATACCAGATTCGCTGAAAGGCGTAAAAGGAAAATATTATATATTCCTGATCAGGATCACTAGCTACTGTAGCGCCCACAAGCAGCCAACACTATTACACCTATTTTAATGCCAATATCTATCACTTTGCCCAACAAAAAAGTATTTTTTCCAGTCGAGGCTCGCGACTGACTGTAACTTATTTTACGTAACTTCCTGTACTGTAATGCAGATTTTGTAACTATTTAAGTTATAGAAACCGTTTACTCTAAAATATTTAAGAGGTAGTTTCTAAAGTTAAAGTATTAGTTAGAAACTACTTTTCTCTGTTTTATAATATTGAATTTGATAAATAACTGGCACCACATTTGAGTGTTGGTGTTCTTTGAATAGATAACAAATATTTATGAATGTTGTACATTTAAATAGCGCGCTCATAGATCTATTAGCAATCGCCAATCAGTGTGTGGAAAGTTGAGTAGTTGCTATCGTCATCGATATATTTTGTTCTCCAACACTAGTTCGTCCGCCATTTTGTATGCCAGTCCAAAAAATTCCGCCAGAGCTTGAATTAGATCTAAAACTACTGATAAAACTGCAATTACTGCCATCAATAAGGCAACTTTGAAGCAATTGTAATCCAAGAGCATATAAGCGATGGCTAGTAACCCCAATCAGAATAAGAAAGGTCCCAAACGTAAGGCGGCACCTGAGGAAGGCGACCAAATAATTGCATACGTGGAGGAATATGTGGCCCAATTGGCAAGTTAAAACAGGAAACATTCTTAGTTCGAATTTATATGCATTTTGTATTACTATAGTGCTACGATAATGATCTCCGTACCATCCTGATCGCTGAAAAGAACAAGGCGTTTGAGGTCCTGATCGCCGAGAAGTACACCACTTTGAACTACTTGAACTTTGACTACTTGACCCATGGCGACAATCCCCAGACTTTTGTGGTTGACCTCCACTTTTTGCTTTCCAAGAACACCCATATCCTGGAGTTTCTCAATCAGCTGGTAGACGCCAAAAGAAACTTAGTCCTGGCTTACGAAGCCCACTGCAAGAAGGCCCTCAAGTTCAAGGCCGACATGCGGAAGAAAAATAATTGCTTCGATGAGTTCACCGGGATGGTATGTAATCTTTCCCAGAACTACTTTCCCTAGCTACCTTAATTACAATAGAGGAACGAGAATACGCTGCTAGAGTCTGCTCCTTGAAAAGGTGTGATAGTCTATCCAAAATGATTCCGATTTCAGAACTACCACGATCTGAAGAAGACCATTCTAAACGCTGCGAAAGAGGAGCAAGAAATTCGCGCGAAGACAGCTTTAAAATCCGAGGAGCTCAAAAAGAAGCTAGAATTCATAAACGCCACCAAAAAGTCAATGAATAATAACATCCGTGTTCTAAATCAGATCGAACAGGACGCCATGTGAGTAACTACAATTAGTTACAAAAAATCGAACAACAAAATGAAGTTTTCAATGTTCATTTTATTTGCTTTGAATTTTCTTGATAATGTCAATGTTTTTTTTTCCAGGGAAATTGTCGAAGATTTAAAATCAAGAATTTTTGCAGTGCAAGTCCAGCAAAAAGCAAATAATATTTGAACAATCACCAAAAATCCATTGGAAAATGAGGTTCTCAATAATACCTCATCTTCTAAAAAATATATGTGGAAATCCTTAAATTGCTTTAACATTGAACAAGTTATTTGATAAATAAAGTACTTCAAAGTATTTTGTAATGCTTTAATTAAACCTTCTTTAATGAGCCAACCACTAAGGCTCTCATAATGATTCTAATCGTCTTCGACGACGATCAAAATATCCTTGAAGCAGAAGGGCGTGAACGGATATCCGTTTCCAACATAGAACTTGCTCATAAACTCCACCCAATGCAAACGCAAAGTGTGAAGGAAGGCGGAGAGACCCTCCATCATCACCATGATAGCGATGGTGAAGAACTCCCAAACGGCGAAGATGAAGAACAGCCCAATGGCGCCCGCGTAGCCGTTCATCTGAAGTCCCATCGCCAGCACCATGGTCCACAGCACCTCCGAGAGCTCTGAAATAAGACCTCTACTAAGTAGCATATCAAGTACGGACTTGGCAGATTCTTACGGGCATGAGCCAAAGACAAAGCCCAGAGACGAAGATATGAGGCCGTGTGGGAGATGGTACTGAGGATATACTCGATTGTGTGGATGGCCTGGTGGATCCAGATCTCGCTCATCGGCTCGTCGTCCTCCTCGCTGTGTCCACCCGACTCGTGGGACTCGGCTACCTCAGTGATAATGATCTCCTTGCCAGTGGTCACCTCTATCTTCTCTACGATCTCGTCCACCTCCACCACTGGTCCAGCAGGCTAAAGGTGGATATATTATTAGGCAATTGGATCATTATTCCAGTCCCAATAACTTACCCTGTTGCGGCGTTGGTATTTAATGTACAGAGGTTTTCCAAGCAGAATCCAAGGAATGCAAAGAAGCGCCACCACTAGGAAGATCATCTCCAGATTTTTTTGAATGGGGAACATGTTGACTTCACAGCCAGGCAACGCCGTCTCCGACTTGAAGAGCACCATGTCAATGAACATAATGAGGACAGAGGGCGCACATCCAGGTGAGTCGGCCTCCACATCTGTGGTTGGACTGTACTTGACCCACTTGTAGAACATCATGAAGCACATGTAGCCGAACATGAGAAGCAGGAAGAGAACCTGGGGTACGAACTGCAGTATGATGTAGGCGTATTTCTTGAAGAATACAAAATTCTCCACCGACATGCACACGCCAAAGACCATGTGCAGCACTCCAAAGATTATCGAAAGCTTCATCTTGTAGGTGTTTAGGAAGATGATCTTGTTAGAGGCCGACTGCCAAATGGGATCGATGCCCATTGGGTAAACACCGCGTGTGGCTACCGAGGGGTTTAGCTGTAAAGTGGGATTAGTCAGCACAGTGGTTCTGTTGTACACATTGACCCAGCGAGTGCCAAAGACATTAATCGATTTGGAAAATATGTCGTTATAGTGGAATCCAGTGTACATAGCGAATAGACCCATCAGCATGATAATATAACGTCCGGCGAAGAATATGTTCCAGATCTCGCCACCTCGCTTCTTGGACAAGCGTTTCTCGTCAATCACCATCCACAAGCCCAGAAGGAAGAGGATTGTTCCATGACCCATATCTCCGAACATCACTGCAAACAAGAAGGGGAAGGTGATGCAGGTATACAAACCCGGGTTCACCTCCCGGTAGCCAGCGATTCCATAGGCGTCAATCAAATTTTGGAAGCCTCGAGTAAACTTATTGGTTCGGAAGTGGGTTGGTGGCTCCTTCTTGGTGTCCAATACGTTGATGAAGGAAGGCACAGTGCTACCCACACTGGCTGATCCTGCAGCCAGAGCGATCTCGACCAGCTCCAGCTCCCTCTTGGGCACCCAACCTTCGCCAATCAAGCACTTGCTGCCCAGATCCACGTTGAAAAGGTTTAGCGTGTGGTAGATGCCCTTCATCTTCTTGACCATGGCACTCCAGGTGGGCAGCTGTTTCAATGCAGCCTGCAGGACGCAGGTCCTGTGGTCACTCGTCTGGTTAATGATAACCTGGAGGTCCTCCAGTCGGGTCTTCACATTCTTAACCATCTCCTGGCGCTCAGAGTGTGAGCTAGGACAGGGATACATGTGGGCATGGAAGCCAGTGCACACCTTGCGAATCCTGGCCTGCAACTGGTCACCCTGGAAGAAGACCACAAACACACTCTTATGCAGCACATTGCCGGTCTTGGGATCCGTTAGTGCCACATCAACATCGCATCGGCGAACAAAGACATTGCCCCTGGAAATTCGCCACAGCATTCGCTCGAAGGCGTACTCCCTCTCCCTGCTGATCACTCCAGCCACGAATCCCAGGTGGCCATTGGACTTCTCGGGATCGCGGTGGGTGCCCATCTTATTCAGATCGAAGTTGTGCGACTCCTGATCCGAAAAGAACTGATCCGTGCGCTCCAGCACCTGGATCATCTCGCTCAGCTCCAGGTAGCTGGTCTGCAGGTTCACATTATTGGCAGCCAGCTCCAAGATCTCGGTCTCCGTTTTCTCCAGGTGCAACTCCAAATCAATAATCTCGCGTGGCTGCGGAGCCGGCGGGAAGTCGTCCATTAGGTCGAGCACCTTGTGACCCTCCTTGTTTAACTCGGCAGTTACGTAGCGGATCCGGCGCTCCAGTTCATCGCAGCGTCTCACCTCGCTAATAAATTTTCGCTGTTGGGCGTTGATTTTCGCGTTCAACTGTTTTAAAAATGATACAAGATTTCCGAATCATACCGAGGTCAACTTTTTTAACATGGACACACAAACTATCACATTTATTTTAACCTTCTTCGAATATTTGGGGTTCGCTGAAGAGGGCGATTTTCAACCGCAACACTTACATCACGGAACTGAACACATCCCACTTCGCCCAAGGCTGCAATCGTATCGTAGGCTGCCTCCGGCTGCAGATACATTTGCACCAAGGACATCACCTCGCTGCGGAAGATGCTGTTGCTCTCCTGATTGGAGCCGCAGCTCCACCACTTGGACATGATAACTGATCCTGTTGCTCCTTGCTGCGGCTAAAAGAATTCCGGAGTGGGCTCCTCACTTTCGGAGCGCAGCTGACGAACTGATCGGTCTGGTCACTTGACTTGGACACGGAAGGTTCTGTGACAATTTCTGACCCACGAGCAACCTATCCGGCTTATCAGTGCAGGCGAGTTGCCTTCCCTGGATAAATATTTGGGGAACTTGGTGCCCAATTGAGCCATCCATCAATGTGATGGAATGCCCGTTACCCCTATTGCGATTCCCCTGACCATGACTGTCCCTTATCAGTAGATATGTACCTTGCCTTTGGTTGTAATGCTCAACCATTTGGGCTTAAAAACCAATTGTCAGTCACTTACGAATTAATTTCCTGCTCAGCACAGTCACTTACATATGTATGCACATCGGAACTTATGTAAATAATACCAGCTATAATAATAATAATGTTTATCTGTATCTGGGCGTAAGCATTTGAGAGACATCCCAAAAGAATGCTACAAATGAACGAATGTGGAATTCCGATTGTAAGAATGTCAGGTAGAAAAGCTGTGGCGTTTAATGAATTTCAACAAGTCTTCGTTCTCTTCTTTGCTGTATATTTATTAGAATTAGTAGTTATTTATAACAATGAATATCAAATTATTGCTTTCGAAACGGTATTTGAGAATACTAGGCACAACTCAAAAGAGGAATACTTTTACTACATATGGAATACACAACGGAGGATGCAAAAATGTGGGAAGAGCACCACAATACTGACAATATCCAAAAAATTAAACAAAACAAAAACATTTAACAAACAATCAAAATAGTTCGGGCGGGGTGTATAATTGTACACGTGTTTCCCTAGTTTGAGCACATTTGGATGGTTTACTCCTCCTCCTCGCCATCGAGGATGGCCTTGAAGCTGAACGGCTGGAAGGCGTAGCCCATTCCCTCGTAGAACTTGCTCATGAACTCCACCCAGTGCAGACGCAGGGTGTGCAGGAAGGCGGACAGTCCCTCCATGAGAACCAGGATAGCCAGGGTGAACAAGCACCAGGCGCCGAAAATGATGAACAGAGCAATGGCACCGCTCACGCCGGACATCTTAAGCCCCAGGGACAACACCATTTGCCACAGCACCTCGGACAGCTCTGCAATTCGTGAATTATTAGTAAGTTTATCACAAGGACTAGGTCAATAAATATTTACGGGCGTGGGCCAGGGACAGAGCCCAGAGACGCAGATAGGACGCCGTATGCGAAATGGTACTGAGCACGTATTCGATGGTGTGGATGGCTTGATGGATGTAGATTTCGCTCATGGGCTCATCGTCATGGCCATGGGCACCTCCGGCATTCTCCTCGTTTCCAGAGAAGCCAGTGGGCAGAGGAGTCTCGCCTTCGGCCAGTTCCATGTTGCCGGTCAACTGACCATTGTGGTTGGCCTAGGAGGGAGAATTTGAAATTAATACGCGATCTATTTCAAACAATGTGATAAGAAACCTACATGAGCCTTGTTTTTGCGAGTGAACTTGATGTACAGGGGCTTGCCCAGAAGCATCCAAGGAATGCAGCACAAAGCGATGAATACGAAGATCCTCTGCCACTGCGGCTGTGACTCAAACATATACTCTTTGCATCCTTTTTGCGGTTCAGTGTGCTTAAACAGCATCATGTTGATGAACATGATGAGCACGGAGGGAGCGCATCCAGGAGTTTGTGACTGGATGTCAGTATAATCAGTATAGCTGACCCACTTGAAGAACCTGCAGAAGCATTCGTTAGGTCAGAACAAAAATAAGCAATTTTCGGGTAAACTTACATCATGAACACCATGTAGCCGAAGAGCAAAAGCAGGAACAGGATCTGGGGCACGAACTCCAGGATAATGGAGGCGTAACGCTTGAAGTGGGTGAAGTTAACAACCGACATACACACGCCGAAGACCATATGTAGCACTCCGAAGATGATCGAGAGCTTCATCTTAAAACTGTTGAGGAAGATGATCTTGTTATCAGCCAGCTGCCACACGGGATCCATTCCGAAGGGATAGACACCCATGGCGGAGTTTTTGGGCCTCAACTGCAGGTTCGGGTTGCTAAGCACAGTCGATGTGTTGTAGTTATTGAACCAACGTGATCCAAATAGGTTCATCGACTTGGAGAAGACATCGTTGTAGACAAACCCAGTGTACATGGCAAACAGACCCATCAGCAGAATGATGTAGCGACCGCCGAAGAAGATATTCCAGATCTCACCACCGTTGCGGATGCGTGCCAACTTGCGCTCGCACAGAACCATCCAGGCTCCAAACAAAACCAGAATAAGGCCGTGGCCCAAATCGCCGAACATCACGGCGAACAGGAAGGGGAAGGTGATGCAGGTGTACAGGGCGGGATTGCACTCTCTGTACGAAGCCACTCCGTAGGCATCAATTAGATTCTGGAAGCCCCTGGTGAACTTGTTGGTCCTGTTAAAGGTCGGCGGCTGCTCGTTGGTGTCGATCACGTTTAGGAACGAGGGTATGGTGCTGCCCACAGCAGCAGATCCATCGGACAGAGCCTTCTGGACAACGGGCAAATCCTTGGTGGGCACCCAGCACTCTCCAATCAGGCACTTCTTGGTTACGTCCATGTTGAACAGATTCAGCGTGTGGTAGATAGCCTTCATCTTCTTGACCATGATCGACCACGAGGGCAGATTCTTGGACACGGTGGCCAGGACGCGGCTGCGATGATCCTCCGTCTGGCTAAGGACCAGCTTCAGATCCTCCAGACGTGTGCGCACGTTGCGAACCATTTCCTCGCGCTCGTTGTGCGAACTAGGACAGGGATACAGGGAGGCGTGGAAGCCAGTGCACACCTTCTTGATACGGTTCTTCAGTTGCTCGCCCTGGAAGAAGGCCACAAAGACGGTCTTGTAGATGGGATGACCGGTGGCCGGATCGTTCAGCGGCTCGTCCAGATCGGAGCGCTTGAGGAAGACATTGCCCCTAGAGATGCGCCACAGCATACGCTCAAAGGCGAACACTCGCTCCCGGTTGATTACACCGGCAACGAATCCAAGCCGGCCACGGTGTTGTGCAGCAGCATCGATGTCTCCTCCAGTTCGGTTGGAGGAGTCCAGATTGAGGACCTCCTGGTCGGAGAAGAAGCCCTGCGTGTTCTCCAGCACCTTGCGCAGCTCGGTGAGCTCCAGATAGTTGGACTTCATGTTCACCTCGTTCTGGGCCAGCTCGATCATCTCCGACTCCGTCTTCTCCAGGTGCGCCTCCAGATCGATGATCTCGCGTGGATTGGGGGCACGCGGAATGTCATCCTGGATGTCGGGTAGCACAATGCCGTCCTTCTTGATCTCCGTCTCGATGTAACGGATCTTGCGCTCCAGCTCATCGCAGCGACGCACCTCGGTGACGAACTTCCGCTGGAAGGCGTTCACGTTCACATTCAACTGGTGGTCAAGGAAGATATATCATCTGATTAGTCGGCGTATCTCGCAAAGACAATCCGTACTTACGTCGCGGAACTGCACGCAGCCGGTTTCGCCCAGCTCAGATACGGAGGTGTACGCGGCCTCCGGCTGAATGAACATCTGGCAGAGTGCCATCTCCTCACTACGGAACATGTCCCCCATCTTGGCGACTGCTTACGTTCCCTGTGGGCGAAAGGAGGATGGGGGGAGGAGGTTAGTCTCGGCATTCCGCAGACGTGCAATTAAAATAGGGAAAAGACAGCGTTTTGTTTTCGCCCTCAGTGAGTGTTTTGTCTGGGCTACAATATCGTATACGATAAGCACTGAGAAAAATAGTGTCAAAGACTGGGAGTGCATATAACTTGAACTTCTACCATGAAATTCAATATCTATCAATTCAATTCAGATCTATTGGTATATAAGCAAGTTTAAAGATCGTCTGATATTTGTTAGTAACCAATTATTTTATAACATATAACTATGTATATTTTTACTATTTGCCACATTATGTTCAATTTATCCGCCAATTATATATACTTTTTTCCCAGTGCTACTTCGCCCCCTATTCAACCCGACATATTTATGTATGTACCAATTTCGCAGGCTTGCTTTGCAAATCATTTTATTTATTTGTCTTTCATTTGTTTTTCTCTGGTGCGGAAAGGCAATCACTCTATTTTCAGCTCCATATGGCGCTCGGACCTGGCCAAAACTCAACATGTGTTTTGGCTTTCAGTGCGACTAGAGAGTCAATATATCAGGATCCAAATATGTATCGGTTACTCAATTACAACACCTTGTCACGTTCTACGCCCCTGAGTTTAACTGCTAAATCACGTAACTTCAAACGGATCGTCAAGTGCAAATGAATTTTAAACTCGTGGTGGTTCTTCAAGGTCTTATCCAAACACATTGAGGATCGCATAAAATGCTCAGGAAAAAGTTCCGAAAAGAATGAGAAAACAATTGCTGCTCGCTGAGGCGACTAAAGTCATTGTTCGTATACAATAGGAGTTTATAATTTTGCAGCACAGCGGAAGTGATTCAATGAATTTTCCACTTTGAAAAAGATAAACGAGGGGAACCCAGAAAATATTATCATATTATGATCCAATTCCTGGAAATAACAAATCAACGATATAAACAGTCGTTAAGATATTTTAAACACTGTATGTATATGTATGTACATCCAGTCGGTCCAATTGGGATAGTACCAGGTTTTCTTGACTCACTTCTTACTGTAAGGGGAATGAGGTCCCATGTCCCCAAAATGTCATTCTCTGAGGTTGGTAATCTAGAAGGGTTAGCAGTTGCGAAGCCATTTTCGCCGCAATCTTAACTTATTTGCTTGGGCTATCTCCAGACCCGCTGCAAAAGTGTTTACGGCCCAAGAAAACAGCTCTTATCGCCATGTCGACCGTAAATGCATTATTTCTAGACTCGTTCTCAACTGGAAAATTCAGGAAACATATGCGGGTCTCTACAGATGAACCAATATAAATTATGGTTCAGCAAATTAACTGATAATTGTAACATTATCAAGAGCGGGCCATGTGCAAATGGAGTTGACTTCTCCCAAAACCGGTGGATTCAGATAATGCCAGTAATTACTGTTTTTGATTTAATTGAGTGGGTGGGTGGGTGGCTTCATGAGTTGCCCAGTGACATATGGCGGCAGCGGGAAGTGGTGGGGCAGGTCCTGGGAAAGGGCATTGGTCCGTAGTCGCCACCAGTCACCATTCCGGTGTCTGCACTCGAGAGCATTCCGCCATTTCGCTGTGTACACACAGGCGATACCAAGGTTTGTTGTGACATCATCGGGCCAAACGGCCAAACAGTCAACGACACGGCGACGTCAGCCTCGCACATTATCGAACTTTAGTGGCTCCCCCGGACTCCCGGACTCCCGTATCCCCGAGATCCCTGGATCCCGTCCAAGTGGCCAGTCCCATTCCGCGACAGCGGGGAATTAGCTTTTGCTTTTTGCGGGACACATAAAACGAGTGATGTGTGCATAAATATGTGCACACATTTATGCAGAGGTGTTCTCGAAAGCTACAAAGATTTTAACGAAATATATAAGCTATAAGAAAACGTATCTCAATAGCTGTAAGGCAAATTTAGGAAAATTTGGATTTATAGCTGTTTAAAATCAAATCATTTTCCTTCGTGCTTTAACAATGGGATGGTATTATAAGTATTTCCGGGAGATTCTACCAGCGCTGCTTGAATCACTTTGTAAGTTAAGTCCTCCTAAGGAGACTGTGAATAGTGATCTCTTGTTTATGCACAATTATTGCTTACATTGAAGAGCTGTAAAGTGCAGTGTGCTCTAGAATAATAAAACACTTGGGTGGCCGCCACGACAATTGGACAGGAGCCAGCATAGGAACGTCATTGATAGCCATCGAATAACCCAACCCAGAGGTCTTAAAGGTCCATCAATCATGTGACCAACTGAAGTCTGATGGGTACAGGGGGCTTGAAACCCGAATTCCCCCGCGTTTCAGCACATCTTCGGTGGGCAGTGGGACTGCTTATGACTGTTCATATGCACTCATATCCATATACACTCTGTGCTCCCTATCGCCTGTTGCTTCCCTTCGAGCGTCGCCATATCTTTCGAGCTGTTTCAGCGTTTTGCTTTCATTTTATCAGCTCAGCATTTATGTAGGTTGACACATTGTTGTTCTGCTCTGTCGTTTTATAACCAAGAATCGTTGGATGTCGCCAGTTTGCTAAAAATAGCGAGTCATGAAATTCGCAGCCTAATTGCTTCTATTATTAATTAGGAATACGGCAAGTTCTCAGCTCGTTAAGGCTCATTTTAGAATGTTTGTGGGCAATTGTTTCCCCATCTTTATGGCATTATTAAATTACTATTGGCGTGTGCCGAAACAAAAGTGGAGGAAGTCCTTATAGAGCGGGTCTCTCCAATTTAACGCGGCTACTTGTTAAGTTTACAATGCAGTTAACTATCAACAAGGTTAATTGGCGCAATTTCAAACCACATTTGAAGGATTTCCCATGGCTAATGGTGTGCATTTTAAACACGCTACTGCCAAGCATTTCTAGTACTTTCCTAGTACTTTCTAGTACTTTAATAATATATGATGGATTAAACATTTACACCAACTAGGTTTTGCCCATTTATCAAAACGTTACGAAGTACATACATATGTACATATGTACTTTATGTACAAATAAGTATAAGTATGGGAAAGGTTCTTCTTTATACAAATGTTTTTCATTGAGGGTTATTCATTTAAGGTTTATCACTTTAAAGCGGAAATTGATATGGCTCGGCTCAGGCATGAACGTAGGCATTAAAATACGAAATTATAATTCTCTGAACTTACATATATACATATTCACATCAATCGCAATAAAATTAAAGGCATACTGATGAACAATATATGCGGACAAGTTAGAGCTTATAATTATAATAATAATTAGTATATACGCAAACGAGAATTACCTCCAAAACTCGATTGGCTTCAAAAACCGGTAATTCAGTTGTAACTCGCCTGCTCAAATGCTGTTTAATGATTCAACGAGCGCACTTTCGTTTATAATGAATTCGACCAAAAGTCCAGTTTCCAATTGCGATAGCCGAATATCGCAATATCACAGTTCACACGCACAGCTCGAAGACGAAAAAAACACTGAGCCAGCTGAGAGGCACTGAGCAACTGCTAACTGCTAACTGTAAACCAGTTCGACTTCAAAACAACAACTAAGTGCCGTTCGCTCTCTTCTTCTCTTTCCTCTCCCGCGTTCTTCTCTCCTCCGCTTCGCTTTGCTGGTCACTTTCGTGAGTGGACTCTAGCCTTGTGTGCGTGTGTGTGGGTGTGCCTGCTACGATGTACAGGTAAACTTTTATTGTTAATGTGCAGAAGTCTTTAATTCAAATCATTTGTTTTTCGGCAATAAGTTGTAAGTGAAAATATAATAGTGAAAAAGAAATGTGAAGCAAAATGCTAGCTCAATTCCAATAAGAACAATAAACTGTGAGAACAATTATAGTCAGCTCCTTAGTTTTATCACTACTATATCAAAATATTACACTTTACTATTAATCTTCTTCACTAACTGTCTGGAGGAAGCGATTTAGGAAAGCTGCACTGTACTTCAGATGCAATGTGGTTGCTTTAGTTGTTGTGGCTGCTCCTTGGCTGTCACACGCGAGTTGTGGGTGAGCCTTAATCACATTTAGTCGTGGGTGAGCGAGGGGAGCGGAGGAGCGGCGCCGAGAGAGCGAACGAGCGGTTGACATTGACAACCCCCCTTTGCTGTAGGGAGCGGGCGCACGCCCATGAGTGAGTAGGCTAATATCGCTACACTTCGAAGTTTCGTTAAATTTGCGCTCTGTTTTGTTTGCTCCTCTCTTTATCGCTCTGCGCTTTGGCTCTCCTGTTTGCTATTTGTTGTTAATTCGAATACGACTATAACTTCTAGTTTTTATGGTGCTTTTGCGCTCGGTTTTATGACAACAGTGTTTTTTTCACTGCGGGTAATTGGAGAACTCGCTGACACGAATAACCGAACCAATTCAATGTGAATCCACCATGGAGGCGATCGAGAAACAAAAACAGTCCCCACTCATCTTTTATTAACGACAATTGTCAATTCAATTAATTTTCTTTAAATGCTTCTGTGCGAAGAAAGACACTAGAACTCAAACCATTTCGTTGCGTCACAAAGATGATTATGCCCATATGACACGGAACTAATTATCGAACTATTGGGGGGAATTCAAAATAATATTGCGCTGTAAAACAGAAGCCACCTGATAAATGCGAGCATATGCTAGCTCCTTTTAAATTGCCATTTTAAGCAATACCCTGAGGCATAATATTGATTTCTATCGTAAACTTAGTGTCATAGGAGCACAGTAAAGTTTACCATTAAAGTCAGTATTATTCCTCTTGAAGTGCAGTGTTTGCCGACCACTCCCGATAAGATATGTAGGTAGCTATAGAGTTACGTAACTGGAGATCGGAGACTTGAGTGGAGGGGCTTTGACTTTATATAGGTAATTAGCCGGACGATCGACCAACACCACTTGTGTGCTTGGGAAATACTATACTTGAGATGTGAAACTGTTAGATTTCTGGAATCGATCAGATTTTCCATTCATAAACTGGGTCTGCCACTGCAGCTAATCAGCGAAATACTGATTGATCGATGGAAAGTGCCATGGACAATTTATAGAGCGATCCATAAATCATAATCGACTGGTATTTATTGTGCGCTATTTGCAACTACTCGAGCTCAGCTTTTAGGGTTTCCGTTCCAGCTGAAGATCGTTCTGGGCAAGGCTTCTGAAAACCGAGACCCCTAAGATCACATGATGGCCCCCATATGACGATTGCATAAAACTCGAAAACTCGCGACTTGCAAAGAGAGCGCGACTCACAGATACTCTAGAGAGTAACATATTCTCATGACAAGGGTGCGACTAACACATACACTGCGAAAGTGGTAAGTGCGTACCCGTATCTCAGAGTATCTCAGAGATACTCGGGGCTTACGAAAGAGATAGCGCTACGGGTATCTGGCGCTCTGACTCTAGCTGCGACTTCTGGCAGGTGTTTGCACAATGGGTCCCATGACAGGTGGGCCCCCGCAGGCCCCAGTAAGCCCACTTTTCCGACTGGGGACTGTCAGCAGCCAGCATCACGTGCCAAAGTGCATTGAAAATGGGCTTAAGTGCGGATTCTCCCTGTTGCCAAAGCACGTGCTTTGTATCGCTAGTTTCCATGGGCTATCGGATATACTAGGAATGACCATTGGCACAGCTTTTACACCTTGAACCCATTGGGTTTTTCCAGTTTCTTCGATTACCGTCGAGTTTTGAGTTTTTCGCTTACCTTCACAGCTCCGAAAATGCTTTTTATGTCAAAGACACACCAGATTCGATTCCCCGCGAGTGCAAACGATAAATTTAGAACTTGTTTGCTGCCGAGCGAGAGTGTATTTATTCGAATCTGAACCTGTATCGAGCGGAGCACACGTCTGCTCACCGCCAGCGATCGACTGCGTTTAAAATTCGGAACGAACATCTCGCGATCGCCTCCAACAGCTCGCACTCTCTATTACTCAGCACTCACACCCTGTGAATTCGAGCGACTCTCTCGGCGCGGGCATGCCAACTATGTATGATCGGGGGTCGTTATCACGAATCAGAAATCGACAAATACCCGTACTAAAGTCAAAATCCTCGAGATCTACATACATACATATGTACAAATGTCCGCATTGCGTAGACACCGCCATCACCTCCATTATCAATTTAAATTAATAACGCTTCAACCGAGTAATTCCCTGTTCTAGATAAGTCGAGTTGATATTGATAGTTGTTTGTTTTGGTTTTGTCAGCCACCATAAATCGACCCACCTGAAGGCCCTAGCAACTGAAAAGGGGTGAGTATTCGACCGATCTTTGGCTAAAATAAGCTTCTATTCTAACCATCGGACCTGCCATTTAGCTAATCGGGTTTCAAAAAGCCTATCTGTCATATCATCACCTAATTCAAATAGATAGATATTTTTTGAGAAACTTGCTGTACTTCTTGAATTTTCAATTTAACTAACATTATAGAAATTAGTCAGCAAATATGCTAACAATTTGCTTTTTAAATTTCAACTGCTGTCAGTGCTGTAAAGTGCATAAAGTACCAACAGGTGGCTCCACGCAAAACGCGTTAGTACCTTGCTATACGGCTCTTGGACATTTCCACTGCAACACCACGGCCACACTCTGTCCCTGCTTTGTTTTGATATCCCCACAGAATAGAATTTAATTTGTTGAAAGCCTGAACAAAATTATGGCCTACGCCGGCTATAGCCAGCTGCCCAGTGGCAGCGACCAGGAGCGCAGACAGGCGCAGCTCGCGGCCAGCACCTACGACGTACTGGAGCGGACGACAGACAGTATCCAGCGTTCCAACCAGATTGCCATCGAAACGGAGAACATGGGGGCGGAAGTAATTGCTCAGCACCCATCCATTAGCAGGTTTTACTAATGCTGGCTTACCCTTCAACAGGTGCTGGGTGAACTGGGCGAGCAAAGGGAATCGCTGTTGCGCACCACCCGCCGCCTGGAGGACGCCGACCAGGATCTGTCCAAGTCGAGGGTCATCATCCGCAAGTTGAGCAGGGAGGTGCTCTACAACAAGATCATCCTGATCCTGATTATCATCCTGGAGGTGGGCATACTCGTCGGATTGCTGGTGCTGAAGTTTGCTCACCTGTGAGGCAATGCCATTGTATTCCAAAGTAATAGCCACGAAACAGGCGATGGACTATGTATAATTATTAATCGTTACGAATGCTTTGCCCTAGATAATAAGTATATAAATGTGTATAAAGGCGACGTAGAAATATATACTCTGAGAAAAAGATTAGTTCCATTGAAATCCAATTGCAAATTAAACACGCCTTTAGGATAAACCCAGCGATGAATCGGGCGCTTGATTATGTTTATTCATGTTGACTAAAGCGTTGATGCCTTAGACGTCTATAATATGTATAATGGTAGTAAAACACAGATAAAATCGGAGCTGGACATCGGAAGCACTGCACTCCGATCCCTTTAGCCCAATCCCAACGCATACAGCCTATAACAATGATAATATGTAGTTCGTGCAGCACGCTATGCCACGACTATTTGGCAAAAAGCAACGATAATTACACTCAGTGGGCGACACCTAGATAGTAGAACATCCTGAACAATGTCTGCGTAATACTTGATCTATGATAAACGGTTACATATAAGTATAAGCATCGCTTTGGGGATGCTTTGTTCGAGAGATGTTTCGGATTTCGCGGGCTGCACCTCCTCATTGCTTTGGAGCAGCTCTCCGCTTCAGCCGCCTTCAATTGTCCTTCGGTAGAACGATGGACCAGCCGAAAACGCGGCGATCGAAGCCACAGGAGAAGAGGTCGCAGTCGAGCAGTGGTTCCTCCGCCCACGCTATAGACGACACCATCCGTCGGTGGCCCTGCCGACTGGTTCGTGGCAATCGGGCGATTCTCTGCCCGTTCAAATCAAACAGCCGGATCTGGCGATTGTCATGCGGTATAGCGATAATTCCTCCAGTGGAGACCGCCAACCGATTGACCGAGGAATCGGTTCGGATGGTGGCCAAGGCGGATCGCATGTTGCGCAGCTCCCAGACCTTAATTGTGCGATCATCTGATCCGGACACGACCTTGTCGTCCCGTGCAAACACACTGGACGTAACCGTTTCCGTGTGCCCTTGGAAGACGGATACCGCTGGAATTGCCTCTCGGAAGTCCCATAGACGGAACGTGGTGTCCCTGGAAGCGGTGACCACCAGGCGTTGGGTGGGATGTGCCGACACGTGGGTGAGTTCGTGGTCATGCCCAGTGAGCGGCTGCAGTGGCTGTCCTGTCTCCACGTCCCATAGGATAGCAGTCCGATCCCAGCTGCCCGTGATAATCTGGTCCATCGAAGAGAGCCAATCGGCGGCTACCACCACTGAAAGATGACCTCCAGGGCCTGTGAACTCGCAGAGCGGAGTGCGCAAGGTGTCCACACGATCGCGATCCTCCACCTGTTCATCACTATCGTCCAGTTCCTCCTCTGAAGAATGACCCTTCCTGACATTTGTACACCCATTATAATTTGAATTTTAAACGTAATCACAAGTTACTCACTTCGGCACTTCCCAGTTAACGGCCGCCTGCCAGATGTGGGCAGTGCCATCACCGCTGCCGGTGAGCACGAGATCTCGCTGCTGATGGAACTTGATAGAGTTGACGGAGCCGGCGTGCCCTTGGTATTGCAAGAGACACCTGGCGCTCTCCACGCCCCAGATACAGGCGGTGTGATCGGCGGAGGCAGTGCCGATAATGGGCTGTCCCGCCTTGGCGGCAACCTGCCAGATGCCATCCTTGTGGCCGCCGAATTCTCGCACCACCGTGCTGACCACTGTGGGCGCCTTAAAGCTGGACACGATGCGGCTGGTCTGGGCCTTGATCTTGTTGCTGGCCTTAGCTTTGCTGCCGCCGGTAGCGCTGCTTAGTTTGGCCTTTAAGCTCTTGTGTGTGCTGGATGCGGCAGCCAGGAAGCTGCCTGCCACTTCATCCGCCTGGGTGACAGGCGTGGCCAAAGCTGTTGATGAGGCCTGCGTAGTCAGTGATCCTCCTGCTGCGGATCTGGACTCAGGTGGAATCAATGACTCCTTGGTGGTGGTGGCTATATCAAGCTTCTCCTGAACTATAACAGAGAATTAGTTTTAATCAAGTGCACACAATAAAACGGTATACATATTTTATAAATACATAGTACAGCTCATCAGAAACATGTTCTTATTATGTACGAGGAACGAGTCCTTAAGGAGTTGTGAAGTACATATATATGGTACTCACGGGCCTGGTTCTCCAGATATAGCTGCTCAAATTCCCGCTCGATCTGGGCGAAGAGGATGTGCAGGCGTGCCCGGAATGGTGCATCCTCCGGAACGGCGGCCACGTCCTCCGTCAAACTGGTGAGGCGCACAGCCCGTGTCTTGCTAGCCTTCATGCTCACTTTTTGCCTCTTTGTTGTGTATCTCGCAAGTGATTTTCTGGGCCGAGCTGGTCGGCGATTTCCGTTTCCTGCTGGGCAGGGCGCCCAAGGGAATCCAATTAGCGGTCAGGGGTTGCAGACTCGCGCTCTATTGATCCATCTTCCACTGCTGGCGACGCATTTGCTGCTTTGGCTGGCTGGGGGACTGCTGTTGCACTTGGTTTTCGCAATGATAATATACCTATTATGGGTGTAGGTGTGCGCGGGGGGAGCAGGTGGAACAGCTGGCGATGGAGATGTGCCTATCGAGTGTAATCGATGTGGGGTTATCGCACTATCGGACTGTGGCGCACTGAAATGAAATTATTAAAAAAAAATATATAATAATTTTGAAATTATATAACTGAGAGAGCATTTTATAAATTATCTTAGACGTTACTCTTGAAGTTACAAATTATAAAAGTTTTAAAAAAATATATACGTAACTTGGAGTGATCATTACAATTATGCTTAACATATTGTTAGAATTTACTACATTATAATTATATTTATTATGAACAAATATATAATAATTTCCGCATGACTAATTTTATTTTTCTCAGTGCACTTTGGTTTGAGAGCGGCTCTGGAGAGTCAGTGTTGAGCAACAATTGATTTTTTTTTTGCAGACTTTCAAATTTGACACGTGAAGGTAAATAAGTTTAAACATAGATTTAAATTTATGGAGGATCAGCGTTTATTGGTTATAATAATATAAGGGTTGATTATCTTGTTATAACCCTTTAGAACCGAAGTATTATCCCTTATCAACACTGTGTATTTGAACAGCTGTTGAAATGTGGTTGTAGGTACTATTTTTGAAAAGACAATTGGGGTTTCGAGACAAACAATTCGGGCACCCTTTTAGTTGGATCCCATTCGAACAGCTGACAGACCTTCGGGCCCGTTAGATTTCCTCGATCGCCCTGCATATGATATCTTATCTCCCATTACAGCGCTGCAGTCCAATCAAACCGGTTTGTCGCCTCTCGACTTTTCGGTGGTCTCAGTTCACGTTCATTTCCCAACCAGTCCAATTGCTTTTTATTTGCTCCTCGGGTGCCAGCGAAATCGTTTAAATCCACCCACCTCCATCCTTTCATTCAGTTCGGCCCGGAAAAATCAGCATGAAAAACGTTTTGGATGTAATGTCGTTGCAGCAGCACGTGGAGTCGAACAAGGCGCAGACCATGAAGCCCATCGACTATCGGTAAGTTGGATGATCCACCCTAAGGATACCACCCATGTTTATCTGTGCCATCTGTGCCGCAGCAAAGTGAACAAACCAGGCGTGGTGCCGATGTACATCTTCGAATGCGCTGCCAAGTTGAAAATGAAACCACTGACGGCGGCCTGTGCGGCAATAGTGTTCCATCGTTTCTTCCGGGAGGTCAAGGCCAGTGACTACGACGAGTTCGTGAGTATACCATACCGTCATACCATACCATACCCATCTCATCAGATCAATCCTCAGCTCATTGCCGCGTCCTCGCTGTACTTGGCTGGCAAAATCAAGGAAGACGAAACAGTCAAGATTCGCGATGTCATCAACGTGGCATATTGCACCCTGAACCGGGGTAATGCTCCATTGGACCTGAACGATGAGTACTGGTCGATGAGGGATGCCATTGTCCAGGCCGAGCTGCTCATCACGCGCACCCTGGGATTCGATCTCAACATAGATCTGGCCCACAAGTACTTACTGCACTACATGAAGACCCTGCAAGACTGGGTAGGCCCCGAGGTGTGGAACTCGGTGCCCATTGCCAAGGCAGCCGCCTCCTATCTGCAAGACTTTCACCACAGCGCCAATATCCTCAAGTACAAGCCCACCCATGTTGCCATTGGATGCCTGTCGCTGGCGCTCCAGACATACGGCATCCAGGTGCCACTCACCGACGAGTCCGACGAATCCGCCATGTGGTACAAGCCCTTGGTCAAGGACTTCACCAGAGAGAATCAGTGGGAAATCATCGAGAACGTGATCGAAGTGTACAAGCATGAGGCCTTCCTGAAGGCCGCCTAATCCCTCCGAGACTGACAAAACCATTCCTTCTTCCATCTGAACTTATTTATTTCCCCTAGCACCTCATAAACCAATCTCAGATTTTACTAGACGTATGCTCAAATGTCCATTGCATTTACATGCACTCGCCAAAACAAATAAATTTACCGGGAATGAAATGTTTATGTCCTCGGAGGGCGAGAGTACTTTTACCTATCACCGGAGAAGATAGTTCTATTCCTAAAGCTTACTTATTTATACAATGGTTCAATAAAAAATTGTTCTGTGAAAAATTCTATTGTAACCCCTACATTTATTTTAATGAATACAATTATACTAAACCATTTTACACATATATTTAATAAGCCCATTCTTATACACTTCAACAAAATATGGAAATCAATTGCTGTACTATATGTTATCGCTCTGTTATTTTTCGGGATGGATGGCAACCCCAAGCCCCAACCCAACAGTGTTGGCTAACGCAGGCATGTACAAAAACAATGCGAATTCGTAAACAAAACATATTTTTTATACATTACTTTGCCAAAGCGAAAAAACAAAGACAATATGCGTAAGACGTGGGTGAAGCGGGAGAATATATACTTCAAGCCCTTCTACAAGCAGAAGTCGAAGATGTTCCTGCTGCTGATCTTCCTGGTGGGGATTTCCTTCATCGCGTATCAGGTAAGAGTCTCTCAAGGATTTGGCTGGGCATTGAGTTTAATGTTTAACCAATAACGATAGGCCTTCTCGCTGAACCAGCTGCCCGGAGTGCCAGCTCCTTGGAATCTGCAACAGATCAAGCGAAAGCACCAGCAGATGATGCAGTCTCTGGGCAGCAAACAGCGCGACGTGGACGACTTCGATGGCGGAGGAGCGGATGCAGCTGCTCCGGCAGGCGGAGAAACCTCAGCTGTGGCTGGCCACGAGGATCCCATCAAGATTGTCAGGTGAGTAGATGGATAATTCCTGGATTGGACAAATTCGTCATTCTGGTCCAAATCCTTCAGGGGAACAAGGCTCTTCGACTACGACGCCTACAAGCCCAATTTCGAGGGCAAGTTCCGGTGTCTGGATGGCTCCAAGGAGATCCCGTTCGACCACCTGAACGACAACTATTGCGACTGTGAGGAGGACGGCAGCGATGAGCCCAGCACGAATGCCTGCGCCAAGGGGCGATTCTACTGCCGCTACCAGAAGCGTCACATCACGGGCCGGGGCCTGGATGTCTACGTGGCCAGCAGCCGAATCAATGACCACGTGTGCGACTGCTGCGACGGCAGCGATGAGTGGAGCACGGCGACCAAGTGCCCCAACGACTGTGCGTAGTTGCAGGCCTACAAGACTCCCATTCCTCTTCCAACTCCTCCACCTGTGCACCGTGGACACCAATCTCAAGGATGAAGCTGTCTGGCGCATCACAAGCGATATTTTTTGTACGAGTACAATAGAATTGTAATTTATTTTAAAATAAGTAGATTGAATAAAAGAAACAAATTCCAAGAAATACAATGGGGCCAGTTCCAGTTTTCACATTCAAAGAATCCGATGGGCGCATCCCTTGCTGATGTGCACAAGTTGTTTAAAACAATAATTAATTTGGCGCCAGAGGAGCTGCAAGAACAAGAAGACTCCCCATCGCTCAAATTGGCCATTTTATCCATATATGCTTATTCATTTTATTACCAGACTCACAAAAATCAGTAGAATTTACATTGGGAATTCTTTTTTGTTTTTTGATCGACTTTCTCTGCACCTTTTTGGTTTCAAATTCGCAGCGTTTTCATTTATAATGTTCAATTTACATCTACATACGACCGACTGTAATTTTAGATAATAGGGTTCTTGCCTAAAAATGTTTTGTGCATTTTAATCCGTAAAATGTACACCGACAAACTCTAAAGCAATTTTGAACTGCAAATTCTACAAGGTACGAAATTTTGTGTGTAATTATTCCCTTATTATGCACAGTAAGTTTCACTGGATCCTCTCGGTTTGCTGGCTTTCTTGTCTTGGTTGGATAAGCGGAAGCGGTAATGATCTCCATATCGATATTTTAGTTTAAGGAACGCGCGCCATTACAATTATTTCTCGGATCTGAATTGGCAAAATTCGCTTTATTCGCATTGAGTACTTCTTTGACTTGGCCAGCACAATCAGAAAAAACTACGTCTATGCCTGGACGAGAAGATTGCTATCGCCGCCGAATCTCGTCTCACAAATTTGATACTTTGCCCCCAGTTTGCGATGGAAACCGGGGATCAACCTAAGTAAAGTACATTTTTTGTTGTGGTTTTCTTGCCAGTTGCAACTTAAAGTAAGCTTACGTACGCTAAGTAATACTTAATCAGAGGGCTTGTGGGTCTGTGATTTAGGCTGGTTAGATTTATGCGACTGTGCGGATGATGTATAAATTCATTGGGGTACTTAAAACGAAAATTGCTTGAGACACGCTACGATTACAGTGGATGCTCTACGAAATTTATATCATGTGCGCAAATCACAAATCTTTTTCAATTACAAATAAATAGCATGGAGTGTTTGTCTAAAATAAGAGAGGTCTGTAAAATCAGCATATATATAAATACACATATATATATATATATGCATATATATTCGGATTATGTATATTATTGCACTGATGAGATTTTGCTTTCAGTTTTGGGCGAATTACGAAAATGAGATGACCAAACATAAAACATACAAAAAAATGGGAATAAATAAATACATTTACAAAAAAGAAGGGACGAAACACTGGACATATAATATAGGACGTGGTAGGTGTGACTCGACTTAAGCTAAGTGCTGATTTTGCTGGTGGTTCTAAGAAACTTTCTCTCGTACAAGTATACATAGATATAGTTAGGCTACAGATCTAACGGCAAAGCGTATAATACAATTTCTGCAGTTTGCGTTTCGAGCGACACTGATGATGATGGTGGTGCGAGTGGTGATGTGAGTGGTGGTGGTGGTGGTGGTGATGCCTGTGAGATGTTGCCGGATGGTGATGATGGCGCGCCTGTGGCGGCTGCTGCGGTTGCTGTTGTTGCATATGGCTGTGGTGATGATTATTTACAAGGCTCGCGGACGAGGCGCTCAGGGCCACCGCCGACGAGATCAGGGCCGCAGCCAGGCGCGAAGAGGAGGCCAGGGCGAGCTCCGGAGCGGCAGCCAGCAGCTGCTGGTGGTGATGGCGCAGCTGCGCCACCTGCTGACGCTTGAGAGCGGCGGTTCCCTTGCGCATCGCATGCAAGCGACGCCTATGGTGATGCGGATGCAGTTGCAGCTGTCACTTTGCCTCCTCATCGGCTTCCAACAGATTGTTGCTACCATTGTTGGTGGTGGCCACCGCCGCCGAAGACTGCTCACTGATTCCGACTCCCTGCTGCTGCTGGATTTGCTGTTGCTGCTGGTTAAGCGCATGGACGTGCTGGCAAAAGGCCTGAAGCACCTCGAAGTGGGTCATCAGATTCGCCGGCTGGTTATCGTAGTGTAAGTGCCGGGTGATCGGCGCATTTAGCCTTCGTAGCATCTCCGTGAATAGTTTCTCTTCCTTTCTAATCCAGGGTCGACGATCATCCTGCACCTGATAGGGCGTCAGGTGGACATGGATGTTCATGCCTGCTTAAAGAGTCCCACTCGTTAGTTGACCTAACTCGACATTTACTCTCTCTACTTACCCATCCGCGTTAGTGTTTCCAGCAAACTTCGGGATGTGATCCATGTGTTCTTTTGGCCTCCGTGGCCGCCATCCAGCCAGTACATGTCTGAAATCCTGGAGAGAAGGCGGCACATGCTGCTGTCATCGGGCGTAAGAGTTTTAAGATAGTGGAACTCGTAGATGAACTACAAATAAAAATGAAAATGGAGATAAGTAAGGTCAGTGGGCTAATGGCCACAACCCTCAGACTCTGTATCAGCGTTTAGATTTACTCTTCCCGCTTTATCGACACTGCTGAAAAGGATTGGAGCTGGCGCATTGGCGAGTGGGTCAACTAGTTAACGAACCAAACGCGACTCACTTGATTGAGCACGACGCAGCCCTTGCTAAAGCCAATCAGCACCAGCTTGGATTTGTCCAGATTGAGGTTCTCCCGCCACCACAGCGGATTGCTGTCGCTGGTTGCCGTGGATGTCGAGGTACCCATGGCCGAGGCTGTTGTTGCAGTGGAGGCAGGCGCCTGCCTCGTACCACAATCGTTGTTGTAGTGCTCCACATTGTTGGTGGCATTTAGCGCCGTTGTGGGAGAAGTCATTTTTATGGCCGCCGGCGTCTGCTGCTGGAGCTGCTGGTTGTTCACTTGCTCTTGGTGGTTGTTCACACTGTCATCGTTGCCGCCACCGCCGATGTTGCCATTATTTCCCGACACATTGTTTACCGTCTCTGGCACCTCATTGCCCACTATCGGAAATATTACTGCCCCATCCGCGTCCACTGTGATATTCTCCTGCACCTGCAGTATGTCAATGTCCATCTCCTGGCTGCTGTCGTTGGCCGGTGCCGACTGTGAGTTGGACTCCGAGGTGACCGTGGCGTTGGATAGCGTGAGAGCTGCGGCCGCAGCAGCAGCAGCCACTGCCGCCGCAGCTGCCGCTGCCTGGGCGGCCTGATCCAGGATTTCGTTCTCTGGTATGGAGATCAGGCGCTGCGATAGATTCTGAAGCAGTCTGGGGGATGAACAATAGTTTTCATAAGAGCTTTCTTGAACTGTACGCTGTGTCACCTACTTTTCTAAATGCTGGAGGGCATGGTTCATGGGCGTATGATCCGGAACTCCAGCGTTGTTGCCCCTTACAAAGTTGTCAAAGCAACTAAAGGTCTTGAACTCCATGCTGCAATTGTAAATGCGGTTGTTTTACACTAAATTAATATTAATAAATGCAATAACTCACCGCACGGGCCGGATGACGATGATGTGTGACCGGGGAAAGGCCTCGCGCAGGAGGATGGCCGAGTTTTCGAGGTTGTACTTCATGTAGCCCCGGCTGTCGCGGTTCGTCTCCATGCTCTCCGGAAAGTCCTGCACGTCCCCACCAAAGTAGATTATGGCCGTGGAGTCCTCCGGCACGTGCACCGAGTGCTGGCGCACGATCGGCGGGCAGTAGACGATGTCATTGGCCCGGTTCTGGAATCCGGCCACGGAAAAGATGCGGAATGGGCCGGCCGAAGTGCTTGGCGTGCACAGACGCTCCCCGCTGCCGCCGCCAAGCATGCCCTCGAAGTTACGGATCCGCTCTTGCAGTTGCAGGAATTGATCAATGGTGAGCTGCAGGATTGAATATGTTCATAGGGGATTACTTGCTGGGCACGATATATGACGGATTATCCAGACGCAGCATCATTTTCACAGCAACATGAAAACATTCCCATATTGTCAAATTATAAGAACTTCTAACTAGAATAACTGATGACTGATGTCCAAAATCTATGATGCACTTCATTGCTGGCTTTTAACCCTAAAGGTAAATACGATCTTCTTATAATACACTTGCTTCTTTTTCTTCCTTTAAGATAGAACAAGTTGGGATTAGTGAAATATAAATCTAATTAAGGGACGCCGTTGCTTGGAACTTGGTTAATTACTCGCCCCTCCTAACGACCTATTTGTATCCTAGTAGTAGTCATCCTCGTACGCATCCCTAGGATTCCCGCAGCAGCCGACGAAGCGCAGCCGGGTGTCCTCCATGCAAAGTTTGGCGTCCTCGCGCATCTCGCGTGCCTTTAGGCGCACCTCTTCGCGCATCAGGTTGCGACACATGGCCACTAGACCCATGCCCAACAGCATGTAGACAAAGTTGATGGCCAATTTGGAGTGCTGGTCGGCGGCCACGGACTGCAGCTGAGCCAACTCGGCAGGGTCGGCTGAAATGTCTTCCTGCAACTTTTGCGTCGCCGCATTCACATCCGCAGTGGTGGTCAGCGAAGCACCCGGCACAAAGTCGCCAAATCCGATCTTGCACAGCGACGTCATGCAGAAGTAAAAGCTGTTCAGCAAGCTCCATCTCTCCCAGTTGGCAAACATCACGGTGCCGGTGAGGACGTAAAAGAATATGACCCACAGACAAGCGGTTGACGGTACAATGACCTTTTTGCGTGACATGCTGACACCACCTTCGAGGGCGTCCATCCGATCCAGGCGCGGGTGCTCCTGGGTGCAGTCGTGCAGGGATCGGTAGAGAAACTTAAACGATCTAGCCAGCACTCTGCCCATGTTGAGGAAGTACAGGATGTACAGGGGTATGCCAAAAGTGGCATAGATCACGGTGAATCCTTTGCCCCACGGAGTTCGGGGCACCATGTTGCCGTAGCCGATCATGGTTATAACCGAGAGACAGAACATCAAGGCAGCCGGAAAGCTCCAGATCTGCTCTGGACTTCTGCCCACATAGCCGTGTTTGACGACTCCGGCTATTTTTGCCTGGTAGTTCCTCAGTACCTCGTTCGTGGCCTCTGTCCACAGCCTTCTATCGATAATGTTGTGCTGCTCCGTGATGCTCCACAGCTGCTGGGAGAAGTTCTGGCGCAGCTCCATCACCCGACCAGCCGTCTCGTCCACGAACTGGCGCTCGATGTGCATAAAGGCGAATGCCCCACAGATGGCGTAGATCACAATCAGGGCGCCCACGCCCACCTGGGTGCACATAAAGGTGACGAAGTTCCGGCAGCAGCGTTTCACCCGTTTGCGCGGCTGGTTGCTTGGCGTGGAGGAAACACTCGATGCCCCTCCCAAGGCCCCTGCTCCGCCGGGAGATGGTTTCCTCTGAAATTTGCTGGCCATTTCATTCGCTCATGGATTGCATAACCGATTCCACGGATTCCGGATATCTCCCCTCCGGTCGAAAGGCCTTAAAGCCCCGACGATGTGCAATTAATTGGACAGTTATCGATGCCCAATCTGATTTAGAGCACAGCGAGTGTGGAAATCAGCAAGTTGTCTAAAAATAGACCCACGCCTTTGCACGGCACATTTTCCACAAGATCAAACGAAAGATTTTCCGACTACACAACCGATCAACGCGGGCGCCAAAATTCAACTGGTGGAAATCTGTTCCGAGGGGAAATCTCCCAGCAGCCAGAGAGCAAACGAGCGGAAAAGCCAGTGGAAAGGCGTATCTATGGAAAACAAATATTGCGGCTCAGATATTTATGCCAGCAAGTGCCCGCGGTTCTAAATAGCGCCATTTACGTCAAATTTATGGACGGGGCAATCAAGACATCACTATGGTGCAGGTGCAATACACAAAATCTCTACTGAAAAATAGTTATGAATTGGTGGAATTAAGCACGTTATAGTCCATCACTTGTAGCAATTTCATGGAAATACCCATTGAAATGTTAGGCTGTCATAGCGACTAATGAGGATAATGATAATATAGACTCGAGATTCATTTTAGTGCAATGAGGAGGGTAAACTTAAGGAAATATATCTGTTCTCGTGGACCTAAGTAAGGATTTAACTGATTTTATCTAAGCAAACTAATTCTTTGAACGTTTCTGTCTAGAAAAAAACTCAATGGAACAGCAGTAATATTTCGACGTTGCGATACACATACATACATATTTCGCTGACAATATATCGCAATTAAACGAATCCGAATCTTTACAATATTTTCGCAATTTTCCGAAAGGGATAGACAGCTAGCAGTTGGTCATAAACATTAAGACACTTTGATTAACGACGGTGTGTGTGGTGGAGCAGACGGCGGGAGCTTTAGGGAATCTCGGAACCGAAATTTGAATCAGAATCGGGCACTATTTATACGGCGGGGCGATAAATCAAAACGGGGAAGAGCGTCCGCCACCGGGTAACAACAATAAAACGGGGCCTCCCAAACAAACTATACGTAAATATAAACAAAGAATTAAAAAACGAAAGCAGAGAACGCACTCACACACACACACACACGCACGCACGCATAGACGGCTGTGCGGATAGAGAAGAAGAGGAAGAGGGATCAAATACGCAAAAACGGGGGTGAAAATGCGTAGCGAAGAGATAGATTTTTTCAATACCAGCGCACTCGCATTCGCACACACACACACGCATGCTAACTCGCTGCTGCTGCACACTCACACGAACACAGTTGAAATTTCACAAAAAGTTTATGCAAAATTTTCCGGCGGATTGCATTCTGCAATTACCGTTGCAATCCACCTGCACTTTTCCGCTACTTACGCTGTTTATTCTCGTTAAGCGTTGCGCGTGAAAATTCTGGCGTTCTGACTGCTCTTCCCGCGTATTTCCCGTATTCCCTCTTCGTCTGTTTTTCTTTTATCTTGCGTCTGTGTTTTCGCGACTAGAGCAGCCAGAACTATCGATGGCACTATCGGCGTTTTCTGCCCGTCGATAGTTTCGGTTCTATTGGGGAGCGCAAACCAGGCCTCTTTTTATTTCTTGGGCCATTTTTTTTATCCACATCTGCATTTTTTCTGGTATCTGGTATTTTTAAAAAGTTTTAAATTTGAATTTGTTCTTAAGCGCCTTATATATATACAGTGGCTACCTATCGATATCTTAGTAAGCAAATCAACAAGCGGTCACTCTGACTGCGGAAAATCGATTGTTAGTGTGCCCAGTCATCGAATTCGGTATAATCATTGAGCTGCATATTAGGTGGCAACTCTATACATGGCGGGCTCATCTTTAATATTAAAAAAAACTAGAAACATCGAAACTATATACGGAATAGGTATTTTACATTAATTTGAGTATTCCAACAATGAAATAGATTTATTTTGGTAGATTTTATGTATATATATTTTATAATTAGCTTATATACAAATAATGTTGATGCTTTCAGAATGATTGCTCCGTTTTGTTCCTGGATTTAATCTATTTCATACAAGCGCGTAACAAAATACTGCAGAAAGTACAACAACAATAGTTGTGTTAAGCGTCTGATTAAATAGTTCATATATGTGAAATCTTTTTTATACTCCACCTATAATAATAATGAATGATTAAATATTTTCCGTAATATTTCTTTAGATCTGAAAGAGTATTGACAGGCTCTGAAGTTTTAAGTACAAATAATTTAACTTCCACAAATTGTTGAAAATCTAAGGAAAATGGTAAATTGGACACCGACAATTTTAATTTTGAAGCAAAGCAGTCCTAATAATGAGAACATTCATTTTACTCATTATCTAGAGAATGGATGAAATCCTTTACATATATAATTACTTTGGCATACAGTTAAAACTTTTCTTTGCTAAATTTATTAAGAGGTCAATTAATTATTGTGTTGGAAAGCAAACAAATTAGAGCGATACATGTTTTTATTATTTTGACAGCCACAAACCGATTTGTGTAGAAGTAATGGTACATTGAAATGTACATTGAAAGGATCTCGACGTCTTTTAATTGGAGTAGCTCTCATTGATCCCATACACCGATGCATAAAAATTCATCAAGAAAGTAAACTGGCTCTTGAGCATCGAAGTAAAGGTGCTTTTAGCTATGACAGCAAACAATAGCTATTGAAATACCAATATAATTTAGCTTACCAAGTCTGACCACTTACTTACCTCGTCACCAAAATAGCAATCCGCAGAGGTTTTTGTGTCTGAAAAATGAAATTTGCGCCCGCAACCCACTCCCAAATCCAAGGGCTCCAAACCCAAACTCGAACCCAGACCTAACGATTTGAATTGTGCTTCCAAGTAGGGACGTGGTCATGAAGGGCAGAACATGAAACGAGTGTAGTTGATATATGTAATAATAATAATCATAAATTTTATTTGGTTTTATTCGCTGCTGCGCTTGACATTTAAATGCTGCTAGTGAATTATATTTTGATTTTAATTTGAATAAATTTGAAATATATATATTTGTTGCTTGATATATATAGATCTTAATGGATTGATTTATTTAAACTGGTAGACGACGAAAACTGTTAATAATATTTTTCATTGCTGCTGTGCGCCGCGATTTGGCCACTGCACTGCAACATTTGTATTTGCATATTGATTAATTGAGTTTGTAACTGTAGAGGAAAAATAAATTACAACTCGCTGTTGCTTTTATTTTGTTGTATTTGCGCGTGACGATTGTGGATCATTTGGGATCTGGGATATACTCGTACATTCCTGTATATTCCTGACCCGATTCCACAGAGCAACCCTTAATACCCCAATCTTTGGTAGCTCTTCTTCCAATCGGCCGATTACAAGTGGATGTATAAAAATATTTCGGTTACGATTTATGCTTATGTATGGAAAAAGGTTAGAAAAATCCAGCTAGACTCCTTTTAGCTTTCTCTAGTAGTTTGCTTTTGGTTTCTGACTGCTTGGTATCGTTTGTTTTTTGTTTTTGTTTATAATTTCATATTTATTACATTTTTGGTACATAAATCTGTGTGTAGTAGTGGTTTGCCTTAACATCTGTGCTATTTTTGCTTCTTGTTTTCAATTTTGCGGTAGTTTATTGGCTTAAAGTTTCTCAACTCAATCAACTTATAACTAAATAAAATTATGATCTCTGTGTGTACATATTTTCGAATGGATGCACGCACATGCACGTAATTTAAAATTAGGAAATCAAAAAAGATTTTAAAGTTAAGTAAAGTAGGGTTTAAAGAATAACTAGAAAGTAATTTTATACATTTTGTGCTTTGGACCGAAAGATAACAATTTTGAATAGTTCTATAACAAAAATCTTCTAAATAAATATGCAAAGGGCAGCAACCTTAGCCAAATGTTGCTGATACCTTAAGACATATCATCGTATTTTGTTACTTTTTATTTACTTTTTTTTTTTTGTATAGTTTTGTGCCAAAAATATCACATTTAATTTTATGTTTTATGTTATAGGGGTACTGTTTCTAAATTTATTTTGCGCCGAAACATAATTTTGTCTATCACAAAATGTTTAAAATTAATTACTTTTGCCGTCTCTGCGGGGACGTTTTGGTTATGGTAATCAAAAGGCCAGATAAACGATTACAAATTAGAATTAATCCATCCAATTCCTTGCCAATTGAGCAGACAATTAAGCAATTTAAAAATATAATTTCTATAGATTTCTCCAATCATTTAATTTTTTTGTAGATTTTTGTGATATGGTTTTTTCTTGTATAGCCCTCATATCAACTAACTTTCCTTCCTTGTGGTTTCATATGTTATATGTTCAGTGGACTCAACTAAATAAACGTTTGACCATAAATATAAACAAGCTTAACAAAAAAAGTGAGGTGGTTCAAGTGGTTCGAGCTAATCCTAAAATCTTCAACTTAACGCATAGGACAAAATCAAAAGTGTGATAGGGAACAAAAAACAGAGGGAAACATTGGTAAACATAGGTGTATGTGGTACTTTATGTATACATAAGTGCTAATGGTCTACGTAGACTAAAATTAAGCAATCAACAATAAAACTGAAATGCATTTGAGGTATATGAAAATTTCTTTGTAGTTGGTTGAGTAGCCCTCATCCGTTGCCTACTCCGCAGAACATATCGGTTAACACTACGATCTAAACATTAAACAGTAAAGTAAACTAAAACCTAATGTGACCTTCGTATGAGTAGTATTTGTGGGTGACTGTTGCTGTGGTGGCTGGCTGATCCTCATCCTCATCCGCATCCGCATCCTCCCTCTCCTGCTGGTGACCCCGCGCGATGGGGTCGTGACCCCGATCTGCTGACCGAATCGCGAATCATGAATCAGCTCAAAACGATTCTCCTCGACTTTCTCTCTCTATTATTAGCGTAGTTATTACTTTATAGTTTTTAGGAAACAACATTTAGAAACCTTCGAAACGGTTTGTGGTGGCTTTGGAAAACTTTTCCGCCTTCGCTATATCCTTCTCCTCGACTCGCAACTGAAACCTTTTCCTAATCTGCCTTAGTTATACACATTTATAAATTGATGGGACGATTGTGTCAAAGTTTACCAATAAGTTTAGTTAAGATTATCAATATACTTGTGTTTTACGCGTCTTGCCTTAGCATCTTCGGTTCTACTAGTTTGGGTTATGGTTATTGCTTGGATAGCTGGATAGCTGGATAGCTGGATAGCTGGATAGCTTGGATAGCTTGGATAGTGGGTAATGTACAGACGACGACTAAATGCAAGAAAAATCCACCTAGAACTGCAGCGATTTACAATAAACTATCGCTGTAGCTGTATCTATTGCTGTAGTTGCTGAAGTTGCTGATGTAGTAAGCTGGTTGCTGCTGCTGTTGCTGCTGCTGTTGCTGCGGCTGTTGCTGCTGCTGCTGCTGCTGGTGCTGCTGCTGCTGGTGCTGCTGCTTATGATGCGGCTGTTGCTTCTGCTGGTAAAGCTGGCGGTGATGGGCTGCACTTGGGCCCCGGCCACGCCCTTAAATGGACGAGTTGAGCTTGAGCAGGCGGTCCGGATGCTTGACCCGCAGATGGGAGCGCAGCGTATCGATCCTGCTGTAGGTGGCCGGGCAGTAGGGGCACATGGACCGCTGGGCGGTGTGGGAGTGAAAGTGGTGCCAGCGGTTGGTCACCTCCTTGCCGCAGGAGCGGCACCGCCACATGGTGCCCGGATCGCGGGACGGCGTGAACATGTTGTGGTACGACATGGTGTGATGTGAGTTATGGCCAGCAGCTCCAGTTGCTCCGCCGGCTCCTCCGCCGGCACCCACTCCTCCCGCAACCGATCCAGCTCCTCCGGTATTATTCTGCGCATTGCCCGCTCCCTGATTGCCATAACCGAGCGCCGAGGGACCGTTGTGCCCGTTGCCGGCGGCGATGTAGTGCAGAGGATGGTACTCGCGTTTCAGGGCCGCCGACAGGTGCATCCCGAAAGGGGGCGGCGGGGGCGAGGCCGACGACGAGGTCGACAGGGGGGTCGACAGGTGGTGGCGGGCGCTGCTGCCTGCGGTTCGAGAACGAGAAAGAGAAGAACAGAACACACAACAGCCCGTCGAGCGGGACGAAAATCAGCCCAGAGAAATAGATTTCTTTGATTTTTGGTTTTTTCAATTTTTTTTTGGATTTGGATTGGTTTTTTCGTATAATAGTCAGAGAGAGAGAGAGAGAGAGAGAGAGAGAGAAAGATATAGTGGGTGGTGGGTAGGTGTTGTACTAGTGAGTGTGTGAGAGAGACAGACGGAGAAAGAGGGCGAGACAGAGATAGGCAGAGTTTCGTTTTGTGAGCTAAAAACAAATATACTTATGCGGCATAATGAAAAAATATCAGAACTAAACTAGAAAACTAAGGAGAAAGTACACAAAATTAGGTAGTCCTTAAAACAAACAAACGTCACTAACTACAATCAAGCAACTTATATCAATCAACGGAAAATATACATAAATGAGTGACTAACACAAGGGGATTTCGTTCGTTTCTGCGTCTCCTCACATATTTCAGCGTGCAAATGAAATATCCATTACTCTTTTGATAATATAGTTCGTAAATCAAATTTAGAGGTATATGTGGAGAATATAAATGCGGGCTCGTTTGCTAAAACTAAGCGTTTGTAAAATATTTCGATTCGAACAGTGCACGCGATAAGTAGGCAACACTTTCGAATATTTTGATTTTGAAAACGTGGTTTACTTTTCCTATGCACTGTTCAGTTACAAATTAACTTATAAAATGCCTCCGTTTGTCCTGCGATGTAATATTTTTCGCCTTTGGATATGTATCATTATTATATAGTTTTATACAAATAAAATTAGTCACAATCGACGCATATGTGTAGATGTTTGTAAACATAATTATTTTATAGCACAAATGTTTATGCACAAACAATTCTTTATGATCAAATGAAGGGTTCGGCTGCTTTGCACATTTTCCCCGTACACTCGTATTTCTTCAATACCAATTTTTTTTTGGGTGTAACTCATTTGTGCAAAGAATCGTCTTAGCTTACACTTAGCGAATTCGGGCTGAAACTGATACATAATATATATTTATATTTATTCAGATAAAAGTAGGGTACTCGTAAATGTGGAAAAGAGGTTAACAAATTCAACCAATAATATTAAAAAAAAAACAGGAAATTGGGCCGAGGTTGAAAATTCTCTATGCGAATGTGTGTGTGTGTGCGCGCATGAGTGCAGGTGAGTGTGTTGGTTGGTACTTGTATAGGTATTGGTATTGATACTGGCATTGGTATTGGATTGGTATATAGTAGAGTAGGTGGCATATAGTTCCTTAGACTTAGTTCGACTTTTCATGGGCACCCCTAACATCGTTGGAAGCACAATTCAAAGCTCACAGCAGATCGGGATTCGGAGATTCGGTTTCGGAGTCAGAGGATCAAAAATAATAAAGTGATCACCATTTGGTTTTGTTTCCATAAAATTCAATTTATTTGATTTAGTTTTGATTTTTGTTTTGTTTCATTTGTGTGTGTGCCTGTCTGTCTGTCTGTCTGTCTATCTGTGTGTGTGTGTGTGTGTGTGTGGTTGTGTAGTTGTGTGAGATTGGTACATCTGCCTGTTCTTCATTTATAGTTTTGTGATTTTATGCGGTTTAGGTTTGTTTTGTTTAGTAATTCAATTTGTTTTCATTGAAAGGCTGCCATAATAGATAGAATGTTTATTAAAAATTGTTTTAAAAAATATTGTAATATATATTTATACGTGTATATATAAATTGTAACAAATGCTGCAAGCATTTCGTGGGCTTGCTTCAATTTGCTTAACTTTAATTAAACTGATTTCATTTTTTTCTGCGTTTTCTATTTTTGTTTTTTGCTTTCAACATTTTGCTGTTGCTGCTGCTGCCGCTACTGTTGTTGTTTATAAATAAAACTAAAAATAGTTTGTATTGCATTTATTATTAATACAAAAATTAGATTAAACTAAGTTTACATTGAAACTAGCACGTCATTAAAATTAGGGGTTCAAACCACTCCTGATCGACTGCGAAAATGCTGTTAAAGTTGGTTAAACGAAGTCAAAGTCAAAGTCAAGACAAAATCGAAATCAATTACTGAACTCAAAATGGTTCGAAAAGGCACCAAAATAAATATGAGAGTGTTTTCAAATGGGGCTGTGTGTGATTCTTGTGTGGGCGGGGTGGTGTGCTCGGTAATTTGATAAGCTTTATGACATTTATTGTAAATAGACACAGAAATCGTAGCGAAAAGTTATCATTAACTAACTGCTCTGCTGCTATATCAGACGTATATATATTCATAGTGATATGCTAACACTTATTTTGTTTGCGGGTGGTGTCTCTCCCCATTTTGCGACATTTAAAAGGACTTTGAATATCTCTACTTATTTCGGCTTATTTGGGGGGCTTAGCACCGCTTTGTATTTACATATACTTTGTGTGTTTAGTTTTGTGTTTTTTATTCGCATAATTCAAGTGGTTGGCATTTGCGTGGTCAACACCATTCTTCATCCATCATCCATCATCCATCATCCTGCACCTTAAACGAAAACTAGTCATATTGCACATACGATACGATTCAAGGAGGCTGGCCTCCTCCTGCCATTCCCTCGCGTTCTACTCGGTATACTTTAAAGTATATTTGGATTTAGCACCATTTTGCATACCACACAAATGATAGATTTCTTTCGATCGTTTTTTAAAAAAACTTCAACGCTCTACTCTCCTGCTTAATTAACATAATTTCAATTTGTAATGTGTGGGTGTGTTCTTGTGTGTTTTGTGGGCGTGTGGGCGTGTGTGTGTGTGTGTGTTTAGTTTTACTATAGTTATCACATCATATATAGATAAATTTCTTAAATTTTTGTTTAACAAAACAGCGTTAAAAATAAACATTAAACAAACATTAAGTCGGGGGCAGTATTTGATGTAGCATTATTAATAATGTAAATTTAATTCCTAAACATTTCATGTTAAGAAGTAGAACAAATAAATATTATGAATATGTGTGTATATAACATATAACTATATATTTCATAGAATTATGCAATAATTCCTTAGGCAATTAGACCTTTCTGTGTGTGTGTGTCTGCATATGCAATATGCTCCTGTTTGTGTGTTCGTGTGTGCGCACCAATATCGGGGATTTGGCAATCAATGTACAACAACAAATTACAAAAACTTATTTAAATACACATTAACTAGCAGAAATCGGGGGAGAATCATCAATCATATTTACACCGCAAGAAGAGTCTGCCAAATCATATTAGCCCACGCAAGTGTGCATATAAGTAGGTATATTAATCATATAGACTGGATAACAAACTCGACCACATGCATTGACATTTGAATCTGGCGCTGTTATCGCTAACTATAATACATCAGATCAGATCGGATCGAATCGGATCGGATCGGATCATATAAGATGATCGGTTTGGATTGGATCCATCGGCAATCGCTCACTTCGAGACTCATTCGCACACTCCCGTATTGGTTATAAATAAATTAACATTAGTTTAGTATCCGTAATCAGTGAATTAGTGTAGTTTAGTTTAGTTAAGATTAGATTAGTTTAAAACTGCCTCGCTAAGATTAGGGCTACCGTAATGCATGTCTTCAGGGTCAACTAACATCGATCAAACGCACCGATTTGTACATCATAGATACATCTAAACTCGTATGCAGAGAAAATCCCACCGAAGGGGGTTCCTTAAAGGTCGATTATTCTATTTTACAATTGCTGTTATTATGCGCAAAACACGACATCCATTAGATCGTAATTAATGATACATTTATATAAAACAGTAAAATGGTTAGGTTAGCAGCATAGAAATCTCTCGTTAAAATGTCTTCAATGTTCGGTGTTTGCTCCTAACTTGCTTTTCCTATAGAGTATCAGAGTGGTTTCCGGGTGGGTGGATTAGTGTGGTTTTCTGCATGTGGGGTGTTTGGGTTGTGGGTGTGGGAGTGGGTGTGCACATACTAGTGTTAAATGCAACAACGAACAGGTGCAAATAGAGAGGGTGCAGCCAAGGAAGTTGGCACTACCACCAAGAGATTTTGGCACAAATGTCTGACAGGTCCAACGATTTTAGTTCGTAAAATTTGTAATTCGATATATAGTATGAGTAGCTTCGAAATACAATTGGTTTTAGTTTAAGCTTTTGTTTGTTTTGTTTCTTGTAAATATTTGAGTGCTGCTAGTTAAAACCTTTCGCTTTCCACCCTCTGCTTTCAGCTGGCTTGGAAACCCTTTTGCTTGCCCCACGAGCAAGTCTTTTGCAATTAAAACTCCATTGCGAATAAATCTGCTACTATTCTGTATTCTGTATTCTGTATTCTGTACTGTATATAAGTGCGTGTGGGTGACTGCAACATCCGTATCTAGTTGAAACCTGGACAATGTGTCGCTTCCTGCACCGATCAGCATTGGATTCCTCCTCGCAGCCGGAAATGCATCCTCTCCTCTCCAATCTACGCCTACATAATTGACAAACAAATTTGGCTTACCCTTAAATCGATTCAACATTTAAGATCTTATTCGCGTTTCTCGTCTAAATTACATTTGCTTTGAGTATCAATTGGTTGCTGTTGCTGCTGATGCGGCTGTTGCTGCTGCTTCTGCTGCTGCTGCTGCTGCTGCTACTCCTGCTGCCTTTTGCTGTAGTTCCTAGTGCTGTGGTTAGCATAGCTATTGTTAATAATATTATTACTATTAGTAGTAGTTGTAGTAGCTTCCATTGGATTGGCATTCGTGGGCTCGCCGCTGCGGTTGCTGTTCCTATTGCTGTTGTTGCTGTTGCTGTTGCCGTTGCTGCTGCTGCTGCTGCTAATGTTATTGGTGTTGCTATTGCACAAAGTTTCTTGGGGATCGTAGGGCGCCAGCTGCTTCAGCTGCTCCATGTACCGCTCAAAGCTCAGCCTCATCTGCTGCTCCTCCTCCAGCTCATTGTCGCTCTCATCGATGATGATCGTCTGGGCAGGCGGAAGTTGCGGCTGGCGGCGATGTTGCTGCTGCTGCTGCTGCTGCCGCATGTTGCCGTTGTTCATGCTGCTGCTGGGTGGCTGCTGCTGTTGTTGCTGCGGCTGCTGCTGCTGCTGCTGCTGGTAGTAGTAGTCGCGGGCATAGAAGTTGAAGGGCTGAGCCTTGCGATGGGGCTGCTGCTTGAGGTTGGGGTCATCGGGACGCCAGGCGCCGTAGTTCCAGCCCAGGTACTGACTGTATCATTCACTTGTGGCATTGTGCTGCTGCTGCTGGTGGTGTTGCGGCTGCAGCTGCAGCATGTGCTGCTGCGCGAGGGCATGGAGTTGCTGCTGCGACTGCTGCTGCTGCTGTTGCTGCTGCTGCTGCTGCGACTGCTGGTGTTGCTGCTGCTGCTGGTGCTGGTGCTGCTGCTGCTGTTGCTGCTGCTGCTGCGCTGCATTAAAGGCCGCCGCGGCTGCCGCTGCCATGGCCGCTTGCGAGGCCACCGCCAGCTGGCTGGCCGTGGGCGTGGCAGCCGCCCCCACCGCCGACGAGGACATTAGGTTGTCGAACTTGCGCGTATCCGGATTGTACATGGGATGCTTGAACTTGCAGTGGGTGCGCAAGTTGTCGCTGCGCGTGTAGGTGGCCCGGCACAGCGGACACTCGAAGCGGCCCGGAAAGTGGACGTGGTAGTGGTTGCGTATGTGGGTGACGACCTTGCCGCACAGCTTGCAACGGTGCAGGTTGCAGCCGCCCGAGAGGCGCTCGAAAGTTAGCCGCATGTGCCAGGCCTTGGAGCCTGCGCGATTAATTATATGTTTCATTTATTCGTTATTCGATCGGTTTGTTCGTTATTTTTGTATTTATCATGGGTTATTGCATTTTGGGATTCGATTTGGTTTTCGTTTTCGTTTCGTTTTCGGTTTTTTTCATTAATTTGTTCGTTCAAACGCGCAAAGAAAAAAAGAAGAGAAAAACAATGTTGTTGTTGGTGATTCACAGAAACAGAAAAATCATTTTTATAATAATTCTTAAACTGTATAATTAGATGGTTTTCAGAGTCTGCGTGTGGGTGTGTGTGGTTGTGTGTTTTCTTGGTGTGTGTTTATGCGTGTATGTTTGCTTTTCTGGTAGTAAATTCGAAATATCTGCTTTCTTTCTGCCATTTGAAAGAATGATTACAACTGAAAAACGAATGATTGTTAAATCAATTTTGTTCATATCCCTGAGACATGGTGTTATGTGTGGCAGAGGCACTCTGCTCGGTTCGGGAATTCGGGATTATATGTATTCAATTTTTCGCAATCAAATTTTGTTACACCCAAAAAATCGGCAAATAAATGTGGTTAAGAATTTGTTTTTTTTTTTCCATGGGGTTTCGTGAATTTGGAAACAGCACTTTTTAACGGGAGGGGAAAATCATTATTGCTTGGTAAAAAATGATAATTGAAATCAAATGATTTATCGCTGTGGCCATGGGTTCACTTAAAATATTCAACGGGAGTTATTTACAATAATCAGTGGAGCGACTGAATTGGATATTGAGGAACCCAAACCATTTTTGAAATATATGTATGTATGTATGTGCAAATGTTTTGTGTTCAGACACTTAAAAAAGATCTAGTTGTATAATGTTCTATATATTTTTGAATAGATGATTGTGGGATCGGATTCAGTATCGTTTTCTTTAGCTTCTGTGTTAATTTCTTGTCAAGAGAGCCCAAGAACCGTATTAGTGTCTAGTCTTTGTCACTGTTTTCGAGGGGTTTTTTGCGGAGGTGGTGGTGTTTCTTGTTTGGCAAATGTACATAAGTTGGAGGGAGACAGAGAGTGAGCGAGGGGTCGTGGGTCAAGGGTCAAGAGTCAGTGGAGGGCCAAAAAACGCAGATGAGGTTAAAAAATGAGACAAAACAAGTAAATTAAATGACTGATTTCGGATGAAGACTAACGAAATAACTGTAGCGCAGCAACGTGGATAAGAAAAGGTATATCGCATACTGTATATCGAACATCGAATGTAATTTATCGTTTATCGAACACATTTCATTCAACACCCCTCCTGCCTGGCGGAACAAAAACAAATTTAGAGCCTCATTCAAAACAGAACGAGTCAGACTGCATACAATATATATAGAGCGAGAACAAGACAGAGTGAGACAGACCGAGTTTTAGAGAGAGAGACAGAGAGAGAGAAATAGAGCTATAGAGTAGGATAGATATATCGAGTGAGTGAGTGAGTATAGGCAAGTGTTTTGTTTAAGAGTTTAAATAACTAAAACAAATTTTCAATCGTTTGGCCAATTCCTGTTTTTTTTTTTGTTGTATTCTTTAGTTTGTTCGAATTTGTAGCTTTTCATTTTAGATAAAATCATAATACATAAGTCAGATATATATATTTAACTTACTTAACATAAGTCTAAATTATAGGGGAGAGGTATTTGTGCTTAAGTAGATCTTAGAAATTTCAACTTACCGTTAAGAGAGTGCGCTTGATGTTTAAAATTTTATTTTAATTTTGACTCGTTTCAACTCGGATCGAAATAAAATTATAGATTATGTTTATAATTATATTTTAATTGTGTTTAGTTGCTTTTAGTACCTAGGGGACGATTGTTTTTTTTTTTTTTTTGTTTTTTATTGAATGAAAAGAACTGGAATTTGATTTGAAAGAGATTTATTAAGTAAAGTTAAAGATGTTAAATATTGATTTATCCGTTTCACAATATATGTACTTGTGTGTATATCTGTATTTAAGTGTTAATTAATTGGATTCATTGCTTGATTGGTGACTATATCTAATGTTTAAGTACATCTTTCGATAAAATCTGATCTGAATTTGTTCTTTAGCAAAGCACGGATTTTCAGCGGTTCATTTAATAAACTATTTATAGTTTTAGCAACTCCAATCAACTTCGGTGGGTGTTTTGCCAAAGATATAGATCAGAAGGCGTCCAACTTCAGTAAGCCGATATTTTTCTCTGGGGCTCTGGCCAAACGGTTTGAAATTGGACGCTATCTGAATTTCATTGCGGATTTGATCAGAAGTGGGACAAAATCGTGTCGTACTACAGAGCGTAACAGAGATAGAAAAATATTTAATCCCAATAGAATTCTAGACTCTGGTTTTGTTTTTCCTCACTCGTTGCTTACTGTTGCAATTATTTTATTCAACTATCTTTTTGCGACCTTAGGGCCTATGGACTAGAAGAGAGATTAGCTAATATGGCACAAAATGACACAAACAAAAATTAGTCAACATTCACTACAGCACATGTTAAGTTAGTAAAATAATAATAACTGACGCGGATATCGATTGGAATTCTACATATAATACTTGTCAAAGTTCCTCCACTGAGTACTGGTCGCGGTATTTCGGCATTTCTATATCGATATAATAATCCATTTGGTTTTTTGGTTTGCTAGTGTCCTACAAAAAGCATCTAGAGGTTAAGACGATTTAACAATAAGTAGTTCAAAGTCTTGAAATCAACTACGTGTAGCAAAGGTTTCGAGTTTTTTTTTCTTTTTTTTTTTTTTTTGTTTCTGATAGGGTTTATAAATGTATAGATAGAGATATAGATATAGATGTACACCCAACTGATGGCTGTTGGCTCCTCACTCTGGATTACGTATACGTTTGCTTGATTCTTGGCTACTTAAAACACGCTAGTTGTGAAAACCATTCGATCTGTTATCTGTTACTGATTTTTGATTTGATTTGTTTTGCTGCCTGCCTAGAGAAGTGATCACATATGTACATAGTGGCTAAAGAATCGATCCTTGATGTCCGCATGCTTGATCTTACAGTGCGCCTTCATATTGTCCCTGCGAGTGAACTTCTGCCCGCAAACGGGGCACTCATGACTCTGGGGTCGATGGATATTGGCATGGTGCCAGCGATTGGACACGATCTTGTTGCAACTAACGCATCTGTACAGAGTGGGCAGTGTGCCCGATAGCTGGACGAACAGGGTGGAGTAGTCAATGTTGTGATCCCGCCGATTTGCCGCCGCAGCAGCTGCCGCAGCCACCGCTGCCGCGGACGAAGTGGAACCAGTGGAACTGGAGCTCGGTTGCGGCGAGACCGCAGACGTGGCCACCGAAGCTGGTGCGGATATGGCTGATCCCGATGCAGATCCGGCTATTGCCACCGACACCGATCCCGATCCCGCACCCACACCCACACCCGCACCAGAGGCGGGTGGATAGTGGGGTGAGCTCTGCGAATGACTGGGAGGATGTGGGGCTGATGGCGGATGCTGGTGGTGCTGGTGGCTTGCGTGGCCGTGGTAGCTGCTCAAATCCAACTGCTGCACCGCTCCATTGCTGGCCAGGTAGGCCTGATTGCTGGCCACGGGTGGTGAGTAGGCCGCCTCGGCGGGGCAATCTATTAGGGATCGATGGTGCGGATGATGCGGCGGATAGTGGGACATAAGGTGCTGCTGGCGACTGCATCGTATGGCGCGCATGTTGAGCTCCTTGCACTTGTACTCGCAATTGTAGCCGCCATCCACATAGACATCCGATCCCGATCCCGAGCCGGAGGCTGCCTCTTCATCCGGATGCGGAGGAGCATAAACCACCGCCCTTCTGTACTTGGGTGGCGTGGCATGGTAGGCCACCTCCTTCATCTCCTCCGGATCCTGCTCATCCCCCGCATCCATCCTACGACCGTGCTCCACAACGACCTCCTCGATAACGCCTGGATCGTCGTCGTGCTCCCGATGGTTTCGATCCAGTTCCCGTTCCGGATGACGTGGATGGTCGTGCTTAATGTTAAAACACTTGACGCGACCTGCAAACATTTGCTTGGTTCATATTAGGCGTCATCACTGTGGGGGTGGGAACTCAAGGGGTGGATATAGAGATGAGAAGACGAAGAGGGGACTCGATCGCGCTTCTCTTGCATTCCATGCGCACAGTGGGCTAAACAGGCCAATGGTTGTCGGGTGTGTACGGTGGGTGTGAATGGTGTCTAGTTTAACTAAGTAGCCACAGGAGGAGGAAGGCAAAAAAACTGGTGTGACGGGTGTTTTAGAAGTATAGTGTGGAGCCTATAAGTAAATCCCGATTAGGGTGAACCAAAACTGCTTTAGGAGGTTGCATACAAAATTAAAACTAAGAAATCTATTTTCTCGTTTTACAAATGTTACATTTCAAATAAGACAATTACAAAAATATATTTAAGAAACTAGCAGATTTCGGCATAACAATCCAATCTCGACCCGACTGGCTAATGTTTTTGCAAAAAGCTTATTCTTTTTCTTTTATAAAAAATAACTGGTGGTATTTTTATCAGAATACTCTTTATGGCGGCGTTTTTTTCTAAAATATGCAGAAGAAACTGGGTGTATTGATTGGTTTCGGGACATTTCCACTTCGATTCGATTCGGAACAAACTTGGTGTTTGAATGCGTGTGGTGGCCAAAAGATATATGTATGTATGTATATAACGAAAGGCAATAACAGTTCAAGTGATCGGCAAGGACAATGTGGCTGGGATTTGGGGCTGAGGCAACTGCGAAGCCTGGAAATCATAATATACAGATCGATCGTGGGTGAGGGGTTCAAGGTGTAATCAAGTCAAATCAAGAGTCTTAATCATACAGTTGGCGGAGTCTGTGGAAAAACAAAACAAATCAAATCAAGGCTGGACTTAAAGCTAAGGCGGCATCGTTTCGGATCGGCAGGACTTTATAGCTCTAAGAAAACAATTCAGCTAAATTAAGTATACTTTGCATCAAAGCAAATCAATCAATCAATCAACAGTGTGAACAGTGTGAAACGGAGTGGGAAAAATCATAAGTAAATCAAAATCAATGTAAACAACTTTGGTTTCGTGTCATTTTGTGGCATCGACAATTTTTTGTTTGGGCTTATCTTATTGTCTGGTATTTTCGGTTCTATATAATACAGATCTCATACACAATATTTCGGTTTTTCTTGTTTGGTTTTCTGGGATTGCTTTCGTTTTAGTACTTCAATGTTGCAACAGATTTTTAGCTATAGTTTTGATTGGTATTAAGTATAATATATTTTTTCGTTTTATTATAGTATAACACTTTGTTATATTTTCAAATTCCAGTTCTTTTTCTTTATAGTTTTTTGTTGGTTTTTTTGAAGGTTGTGAGGGGTTTTTGGACGCTGGGTGCGGGATTTTTTATTTTCTTTTAGCTGTAAGGTAATTTCAATTTCAAATTCAACTTCGATTTAATTTCACTTAACATTTTTGTATTCAGTTTGACGGAGCCAATGTGCGAATTTTGTCGCTCTCCTTTACACTTTACCGTTATATTGGCGGCAGCTCTCGTTTCAACTTTTAAAGAATATGTGCAACACACACAGACACAAGCATACACACACACAGACAGTTAAGTACAGAGAGAGAGCGACAGAGAGAGAGTGAGATAGAGATAGAAAGAGAGTAGGCAAAAGAAAGATAGTTGGAATACACTTAGTTAGCTTGGCAGAAAAACCAATTGAAAAAACACAGTCAGTTACAGTTATCTCGTTACAAAACAGTGTGACAAAATATGGTTCAACGGATTCTTCACATCAAATCATAAATGCAGCAATGTTAGTAGAAATATCCAAAATAGGAAAAGTACAGTCTGTATCTGTGTGGGGCGAGTGTGTTTGCGTGTGTGTGTGTGTGTGTGTGTGGGCGGGATAGTGTTTGTGTGTGTGTGGATTAAACGAAAAATATAACACATCGACTTTGGAAGCTGGTGGTTTTTAAGTTTTTCGTATTCACACTGAAAGTAATTTATATTTTTTATGTATTCTGGCATTTTTGTTTCGTTTCCATTTCTTAGACAATAAGTTGCAACATTAAAGACGAAAAGAGATTTGAAAAAATTTTAAAAGGTTTACGTTTTTGAAATTGCATTTTTTTTTCAGCACGGTTTTGAAAATGTGGAATGGAACGAAGAAGGAATAAGTTATGAAAACAAAGTGGGATAAGTTCAAACAAATAGCGCTTGGAAAATAACTACAAGTGTATATCCGATGAAATTATTTTGAATTTGAAATTTGTTACATGTTTTTATTGGGTGATTATTTTTTATTATTTATAAGTGTTTGGTTTTTGTTGTTGTGTACGCCAATTGAGCTAATTATTTGTTCGGTTTTTGGATGAAAACGGAGGCATTTTGCTCTAAAAACTAATTGGGAGTTTTCGATCTGTCTTAGCACTAGTTATGGCAGCATGAAGAAGGTGAAATCAATTGATAAGTTTAAATAATACATTTAAAATTAAAATAAATCGATACTTAAATGATAATCGTATGTGTGTATGTGAAGGTGTGGGAGAGTATCGAAGGTAAGTGGGTGTGTGTTTGTGTCTATGTCTATGTAAAGGTGTCATAAAACATGCAACATGCGGCAAACATACGACAAAAGACTAGAATCGCAATCGAAATCACGCTCTAGTCCCAGATCAAATGGGAAACTCGTCCTAAAAGCTAGATTTAAGTATATTTATCAATATAGAATACCATAAGATACGACAAACAACGAAATAATAAAGATATGCATGTAGAGATATTCTGGTAGGAGAGGTGTTGATCTGTTGCTCTAGCTAGCACTTTGAGTCTTACTTCTCTTAGGATCTATCATTCGGAGAATATCCATAAATACATAGGGCAACTAAAGGTACTGCACTTACAAAAGCAAACAAAATAGGGGTATTACTTGTCTCGGGGTTTGGAAAGATGAGGAAGAGAGTTGGGGGTATAATTTAATGCATGCAGGATTTTTCAGAAAGTACACATATAAGTTGGAGCCTAATGTTCCATTCGCTTTCAAGTGTTTCAAATATATTGAGTTACCCATTCGTCTCCAATTTATAAACATACTTTCTGAATAACTGAGGGAAATCTCCAGGGGTTTATTCTACTTATCATATACATATATTAGAATAGTTTTCCCTTTTGAGTTAGATTTTTACGGGGGCCGTAGCAGGAAAGGAACAGAATTAAGCTACAAATTTTCTACAATCTTCTTTACAGTTTATCAATATATATTTTTGAAAGGGTTTTCTCGCTTTTCTTGAGCGCATGGTGGAAACAAGGTTGGTAGTAAGGGAAAAAAAAAGTTGTATATCAACCAAAAGCTAAAAACAAATTACATACGCAATATTTAGATACATAAGGTAAGATATTCTTTCGGTTTTCGAGTGCGTTAGGTATTCAAAGCTCAGAGAGAAGAAGATTCTTTTGTGTGTGGTTTACTTGTAGTAGTTGTAGTTGTAGTGGTGCTAGCTCGGTTCTGGCTAAGGCTACATGGCTAAATGGCTAAATGGCAATGCTCAGCGGTCGTCTACTCACCGTCGATATTGTCCGTCTGGTCCAGCTGCAGCTGCTTGGCGTCGTTGTGCTCGTCCCGCGCATCTGCTGCTTGCAAAGCATGCTGCGTGAGCAGCGTTGACATGTCCTCCGCGTGCAGCTTTAGAGCGGCGCTCTTTGGTTGCAGCAAGAAATGGGGAGAGAGGGTAGAGGGGATATAGTAAGTGCAACAAAGTTGTTATGTAATACATCTCCTTCCCACTATGGTATTATCCAACATTTCGTGAAAGTGAAAATGGTGCATTCTGATAGATTTTTGTCTGTATTTTAGTACTGTAAAGCCTTTCTATTTGTCTGCTCACCAATTGCAAAATGCTGCAGTCTTTTTAAAATAATTGTATTCTTTTATTAATGCCTTTCAATTTATTGTTCAATTTTGGCCAATGCAAATGCTGTCAGTAAGGTTTTGCCTTTGCTCGCGGCAGCTGCCAAATTCTTAGGCTTCTAAATATATATTACTGTTCGGACATTTAGTTGATAAGGAAAACTTAATGCTAGTGCCTATGGCTAATCCTGAGCGGTGTGTTGGGTCCTGTTTCCGTAAGGACCTGTCTCTAAGCGCTGTTCTTGCCCACGTTTATGGTGATGACGTCGGGTGAACGCCGCTTGCTGCTGCCTCCTGCACTGCCACTGGGCAACGGATGGAGCTGCTGCTCCTGGAGCTCGCGTTCGTAGCACATGCGGTGCGATTTGCACTTGTTGTGGTGGTTGACGATCTCCAGCCGGAAGTTGGAGTTGCCCTCCACGAAGGAGGTGCGTATGTCGGCCAGCTCACCGCTCCATTTGCGACAATGGCGGCAGAACATGGTGTTGGCCCTCTCGTCGTATTGCAACCAATCGAACTGATAGAGCCAGTTGGCCCTGAATCGACCACTTTTCCTAGAGCTGCCCCCTGCGGATCCTGATGGTATCGCCGGACTGTGGTGGTGGGATTTTCCCACCAGTTGGTGTGGCTGCTGCTGCTGCTGCTGTTGCTGCTCCTGATGCTGCTGCTGTGCCAGCAACCGCTGCATGGCGGAATCCAAACCCTCGTTCTGGTAATGCAGCTGGAAGCTCTTCAACTGAGCCTCCACTGCGTGGTGCAGGAGCATTTGGTGCATGGACTTGTTGCCACTGCTGCCTAAAAACGCTTCTGACTTTTTCACCTACACCAGGATTGAGAAAATGTTGTTGGCAAAACATGGTCTGATAGAAGGAAGGATTTTCTGGTCTTTACTTTACATTTACTTTATAGTTTTTTTACTTTACGCTTTACTTTACTTTTGCTTGAGGCGCAGCATTGTTGAGATTTTTTCTTTTTCTTTGGCCGATATTCCGCTTCGAATTTGGAAAATTCAATTAAACGCAATCATTCACCAATCCTTCGTTCTGCTCCCATTTTGCTAGATTCGCTTTGATTTGCTTAAATTTTAAAAGAATACAATTTTTGAGCTAGGCTGTCTCATGTTTTTGGGAAGCACTTTGCAATTGGCTAGCTTAGAGGTATATAGCTGATTTAAACAAAAAGGCTTTACAAGAATGTTCTGTACAGTAGCTGGAACCATCGCACCGGTTCAAAAAGAAAAAACCTTAACAAACTAAACGATGCAGCAACAAAATCATAATCGAAATTCAATCAAAATTTGAGATGTACTCTGATCTGACTGGCCAAACTGACCAAACTGGGCTTACCGGCAAGTAATCGGGCGGCAGGGCCACGTGGTGTTCTCGATGCTGCTGCTGCTGCTGGGCGTCCATCAGCTCCTGCTTGATGCTCAGCGACTGGCTCAGGCCGCTCAGGGCGCTGGCCGCGCCCACATTGCCCCCACCGCCGCCCAGGTGGACGCTGGTGGTCATCGAGAGCGGCGAGTCGTGGCGGCCGCCGGCGTCCTCCGATTCCGAGGTGCTGCCGCCCGTTTTGGGCACGGGACTCGACTTGAAGTTGGCCTGAAAACAAGTCGTGTATTCCAAAATTAGACACTGCTGAACAAATAGCAACCCACAAACAATCAATTACATCTTAAATATCTATCTATCTATGGCTTTAAGGTTTATAGCAAATCCGCAAGATCCGAGAGAGAGTCCTATCGAAAGGGAGAGCGGCACGTGCCTAGCCCACCAACTTCACGCCCGCTGATAACGGCCCGAAACCCGCAAAAGCTGCCAACAAAAGCAGCGTAGCCCTATTTGATCGGCCCCAGTTGATACCGCAGTCATGTGAGCCCGCCCCTCGTATCGCACATGCCAAACATAAATGTTGATATTGTTTGTTTGTTTGCCTGCCTCTGCCGCACCACCCACCACCCAACACCCACCATCCGACCACCGATAGTGAAAAGTTTGGCAAGCTAATGGCAAGCGGCACGAAGGTCGACCAAGATGCAGATATGTGTAAGATATGGCATCAGCTCTCTAACCGGGTTTTTTTTCGGATTTAAGTTGCTAATCTGCGCTAAGACCTCAAATGGCACTTGAGTAAATCTGCACTCTTCTGGTCTTCTGAAGTTTAAATTTTCAGCTTTGCAGCTTGTAAATCCGCAAGGGAATTATTGCTAAACAGTTTTAACTATAACTTAAATTCGAACCAATGAATTACTTTAGATATAATAAATAATAATATTTTGTTTCATTTTACAGCAGATGTACCTATTTAATAAAAATAATACTATTCCTTCACTTTTTCGTACTCAAAAACAGAATTAAATAAATTGAAGTATAAGCTCATTATTTCAAAAAAATGTAAAGCTACGTTTAAAACTGTATAAAGTATTTATAACATCATTATAATGTAACTAATAAGCATTTGTCGCCTGTTTGAATGTGAGATAATTTCTAATTAATTTTAATTGTCAGGCAATTAAAGTACAAACCACAAAAAAAGCAACATTTAAATGCGGAATGGCTGGCTGACTGACGGACTGACGGAGCTGGCAAATTGTTTAGGTCTGTTTGTGGGAAAACAAAAAACCAGAAACAGAGGTAATTTAATTGCGAGGGCAAAGAGCTGGCCAATAAAACAATTAAATAAACACGGAAGGCAAACCTCGGGGACCTTAGCTATTTTTTATGCAGAAGCCGGCGTGTAGGCAAGCCATTATATCCGTATTCCGATGGGGATAATGAAACAAAGTAAATTTAATAATACTACGTTTGCGGTTCTAAGGGACTGCGCTTAGCTTGCATACAAATAATTACCGAATCGTGTTCAGTTTTGCATGAATACTTGAAATCGTTTGCTTAAAGATATTCGCGCACCACTGTGCGTATACGTAATGTGCAATGTCATAAATATCAAGTATACGCAGTGCTAACCGCACCACTTGTTCAGTGCACCTGGCTCACCTGAGAGTCCTGCGGGTAGTGCCTGTCCTGGTGGCTCGAGGACAGCGAGTTATCACAGTTGGATGATGAGTTCTTACGTCTGCGCTTACTACTACTCAGCTGCTCCACCGGCGTGGTGGACAGCTCCCTGTCCCTGTCCCGCTCACGCTCACGCTCTCTTTCCCGCTCCCGCTCACGTTCTCCGCTGTTGTTGCGCTCCCTATTGCTGCTGCTGTTGTTGTTGTTGTTGCTGCTGCTATTGTTGTTGTTATTATTGTTGTTGTTGTTGCCGGTACTGCTGCTGTTGCTATTGTTGTTATCCTTGTTGCTATAATCCAGCTGCAACAGATCATCGCGACTGTCCGTCCGCTCGAGCGTGCCGCGCTCGCTTCCCCGATCGCTGCATCCGTCGGCGCTGGCACTTCGATTGGCGGCCGCTGCCACCGCAGCCGCTACGGCCGCTGCCGCCGCCGCTGCACTGGCGCTGCCCACGCTCGGAGATCGTTCGCCGCCGGTGGGCGTGGTCAGGCCCAGGGCGACGGCAGCCGCATTCACATTGCCGCCGGCGGCCGCTACCGCCGCTGCTGCCGCCGCCGCCGCTGCCGCCGCCGAGCTGCGTTCGCTCATGCTGCTGCTGCTGCGCTGCGTCAGCTCGTCGCGCAGATCCCGTTCGCAGCGGGAGCGCAGAGTGTCGCGGGAGTCGCGCATCGCATCGGCCACGCCCCCAGCGCCGCCCAGGCCGCCGGTGTAATTACTGGGCCCACGTCCGGTCGGCGAACTGGCCGCCGAATCGCGCAGCTTGTCGCAATCGGAGCGGTAGTTCAGATTGTTGTTATCTGTGAGACCACGCACCTGCAAAGTGGAATAATATACATTTTATTAGAGCTTTATATTAAATTGTTGCTGGAGGGGCAGCAGACGCAAGTTCGGGCTTTCCCCGATTTAAAAAACAAGACTATTAACGTGCAATGTTCAAAAGTTCAATTCAATTCAGAAAATAATGAACTATTTACTTTTTTATTACTTTTAACAAATAAACCGCAAGTTTCTGGTTCTATAAACGAGTGTTTGAATTAAAAATATAATATTCTACAATATATAATATTGTGCAACCGAATGTCCGCCGGATATCCCCTATTACTCAGAGCAAAATCTGATCTACGCACCTGCAGGCTCTCGGCCGTCTTGAGAAACATGGGCAGCGAACTCTGACCCACGTTGACCTCGCCCTTGTACATGAAGTCGAGCAGAGATCGCATCTCTGAGTATCTGACATCTTTCAAGTAGATGATGGGATGTGGATGCTGGTTCTGTAGGAAAATCGTCTCGAAGTACGGACTGCAGGCTGACAGGATGGTCTGGTGAGCCTGTGACAGAAAGTGATTATGTCGGATAAGTACAATGTGTTTTCAAATATGTCCATCCGGAGACGGAGACGCACCTTGACTGTTTCGCCCTCGCAGGCGAGCGTGACGTCGCATAGCGCCTCCCGCTGCAGCAGTGAGGTGAGCACGCCGGTCAGATTTGTGGGATGATTGTTCCAGCGCAAGCAGAATTGCTGGTCCATCGCTCCTTGGTCAGTGTTGTACCTGTAATATGGAAGGTGAATGCATGAGAATGTGGCAAGAGAAGAGTGCAATCGAATTATGCGGCATTTCGCTTATACTACTTTGTTTATTTATTGCCTTTAGCGGCACATAAATTGTTTTGGAATGATTCCAAAATCCTTATCGTGCAAATAAGTGTAGTACAAGATAATTCAGCCTGAATTGGAAAACCCCCTTTGATACTATAAAGTAGCCAAACTTCTCCGTGCTCTATATTTTCCAACCGGAAACGAAAGTAATACGAAATATTTTCGAACCCGTTATCTCTATAGCAGTCATGGCCTACATTTTTCGTCGCGTGTAACGGTGTACAAGAAATACCAATGATAATTTGTCATTGAACACAATTGCTCATTACAATTACCAAATGCTCGGGGCTGTTCTCAATTATTTATTGCGTTTCCGGCGCCCGATAACAAACCGCACCATGTGTGTTGTTGTTGTGGTGCTGCCAAACTCCACAAACTTCACAAACTCCACAGTTGCGTCTGTATTAGAGTGTTAATTGCCATTTTGCCATGTTGCCGCCATGTTTGGCTGCTGGCTAACTGTTAATTACTCGGCCAAATAGACGAGCAATCCATGCAAATTTGGTTGACACACCGATGGAAGGGTCTGGTGGCATAATGGATGGCATTTGTGGCTTATCTATCGCAAAATTTATGGAGCCACCCCTCCGCCACACCCCCTTACATAGCTAGGAGCCTAAGAATAGAGTTTATATTCATATGCTTATATTTCTTTATTACATTCGCCTGGAATCCACCACCTAATCTAGACGACCTTTGGTCAGAGTCTCGAGCAGTTTACAGGGGGTAAAATAAGGGGGCGAATGGGGCTCTGATAAGGGGTACTTTTGCTTTTCTTTTTATCGATTTGGGAGCTTCTGCACTTTAATACCACCGGCGAGTGTAACAATTAAGTGAAGAGTCTTCAAAAGGTATATACCCTTGCGATGAAGTGATACACATAAGGCCTGCAAATACCCTGTAGAAAAGAGGGAAACTAAGAGAGATCGATAGAGCTTTAAGCTTTTGCCGGCGACGCGAGCGCCTAACAAAATAAATAAACAAAACGTCAAAGAACTTTTTCGCAAACTGAAATGCTGACCGTGAGAAAGAGGTGTTCAATGGGGAGCGAAAGAGAGGGCCAGATGCGCCGCGACAGAGAGGGGGATAGTGGGAAAAACAGAGAAGGAAAGAGAGGCAGAGAGCCAGAGACAGTGGGTGCGCGCGTGCGAGAGATTAGATCGGTGCGGTATGCGTACTTATATGTGTTTGCTCTGGTAATAACAACAATTACAGCGTGTGTGCCGCTGTCGTAAGCGTTTTTTATTGGCAATCTTGCGTCTCCCTTGCTCTCTTTGTTTGTTTGATTTGATGTCAAAATAAACTTAAGTCACTTTAAACGCTAACTTTCGTTTTCGTTCGCCAACAACTTTTTTGCATTCTTTTGCTATCTTTTTCGCTCTCTGTAAAAAGTTGTAAAAGTTTGTCTTTATATCTGCATTATTCAATATGTGTTCTGTATTTTCATTCGATTTCGCAACGCAATGTTGGGCTTTCCATTTTTGAATTTTAAATTTTATTCAGTCAATTTTAGTTTCGCAAGTCTGAGTAATATGATTCAATCACGTGTTTTATAACGACTTGATTTGTATATATTGGTAGAAGGATTGTTTTGCAACTCTTAAGGGTTAAGCACAATAAACTGTATAAATAAACGTTTTATTATTAAGTTTCATTTTTAGTTTATTTTATGGTCAATTGATAAGAAATAATTTATGAAAGAACTACACAACTGTAATAAATAAAGGCAGCCAAAATAACCAAAATGAGCCAAAACCCCAGAAGGTTATCTTTCCGATTGTCACTCAATGAGCAAAAACTGATTCATAGAAATGACAATAAATTGTAAGCATTAAATATTTAACAAATTAAGAGTGTGGTGAAATTACGGTACTTTTTCGTAACTACCACTATCAGTTGGCAATAAAGTTGAAGTACAATGTTAAGGTTAAATTCCCTAAAAATAAATGAAATTTCTCATCTTTTGAAATCCGGTTTGACGGCAGACAGAAATAAATTTTTCGTTGCCCATAAATCATTTGCAATCATAAAATCTCTCTTAATTGTGTCATTCTAGCTTCACTTTTTTCTTAATAACTTTACTGGCCATTTATTTACAAAGTTGGAAAAGTTAAAAAAATAGAACGCAACGTAGTCGGCGCCGGCGCCGAAGTAAAAAAAAATTAAAATCCAAGCAATTTCGACGTGTTGTGCACTCTATACACTTTTTTTCATTCAATTTCGTTTTCGTTGACGGGCGGAGCAGCGCAGTCGGCGTCGGCGTCGGCGTCGGCGTAGCATGCGATTGCAGTTTTTATTTACACTTGCGCTTTCAATGCAAATTTGCTATGAATGCAAACACAAAGTTGTTGCCGCTTCCCCGATTGTTCTGTTTAATTAATGACAACTTTTACTTTCAAACAACAGTAGCGTCCGCTGCGCTTACGTAAATTGTTGAAAAATATTTAGGCGCTTATCAGCGGACTTCTGGAGGCTTTCATGGGGGCGGGGCAGATGGAGGCGATTCGCAAATTGCGCAATATGTTAACTGCCGCTCACCCATCAGCTGAAACGTGCGGCTGTAACGCGCGTTAATCAATATCAAGATGCAGATACAAACCTGGAGATACGCAGATAAGCAGCAGCAAAGGAGAAGTTTAATGGAAAAAAAAACATTTTGTCACGCGTCAACATTACTTAGATAATAAACGCTAACTGGCAGTCACACAGTACGCAAATAAGGGCGATTATACAAATCGAAGTTGGAGTACCCTTTTTATTTCATACTATTCATTCCAAGGTATCGCTTGGCTGCAGATCACTTCTGAATTTTTGTTACATGCTCTTCTGTTTATAAAGCACGCATTCTCCAATTTTTCATTATTATTCTTGTGTTTTGTTTTTACTATTAGTTTAAAGTACGATGTAAGTGATCTTAACATCAACAAATGTAGACCAAAAGAATGTAATTTATTAAAAATCTGATCCGCACATTATAGTTAAAGCACCTTTGGCGAGGGTATAAGAAAGCCAAGGAAAAGTAATATATACTTCTGCGGCGCACGGGGCGTATCAGTAATGGCCTTCAACTTTCAGTTTGAAGCGCCTTATCGTGCGAGACTGCGACGTCGACAGCGCTGCCGACTGCGCAGCCAGCGCTTAGTGCTCAGCTGTAAGCGAAATAGTTTTTTTCAGCATTTTCTGTTCAATTTACACGTTCTAAATAGTTTGCGCAAAGCGGAGCGAGTGTGAGTGCGAGTGGGTATCCGTGAGATACGCGAACGGGCACACACACAGATACTCGGAACCGCGATAATAATTATAAATACAAAGTAGTTTGTTGATATTTGTTGCTGCCTGCCGCTGACGTTTGACGCTTGTTGATCTTCTCGTCTATTTTCCTCTTTTTTGTTGCTGCTAGTTTTCAATTTTTGCTTTGCTGTTTATCTTTTGCTTTAGAACTTTACATGTTGGCGTAGGTTGGTTGTTGTTCTTGTTATGCGCGTTGTAAATTTACCGTTGCGAGTTCAACGAACGCGAAAAAACCTGGCTAGAAATAATGAGCGCCCACATGGCCATTACATGGTTTCTGTATCCGTATCTGTCAGCAAAAGATAGCCCAAAAATTCAGACAGCCGTCATTTGTTGGGCTCCAAAGGCAAATATTTATGACAAGTTGGAAATTATTTTTTTAGCCAAGGGTGGTTTAAAAACAAATAGTCATAATTCTATATTATTTATATAATTTTACAGAATCATGGCTAAGAATATCTTTACTGCTTATCGAACTAGGAATTTAAATTATTCATATTTTCTCAGAAAAAGTTTTTTTCCTATTTCCTCGTTTAAACTTTTTAAATATACAAATAAATGTTTTTTATACATACATAAAATATCTTAGTATGTTATTGTTTCCGGTGCTTTCGATCCGTTTCTAAAACGCATTCACATTCTGCCCTTCGATATAACACAGCGGTCATAAATCAATGGAAATACTCAAAATGGAGATGAGTTTGTTCAGATAGCCAAAATGAATATTTTTAATTTGCTAATGCACACAGTTACATGCACACGAATACAGATACAGATAGACACTTGCAGAAGGCAAACGAGATCAAGATTAGCGCGGTCGCGGTTCACCTTGACTCAATGGTCAAATGTGCAAAATGCCGCAAAGTAAACTTTGAGCAGCAGCAACAACAGTGGCTTTAATGAATCAGCCTGGCCGAAAGCGTTTGCCAAAGGTTTGGCCAGCTTGTAAATGATGAAGGTCGCCGGTTACAGATACAGATACAGCAGTGCCATAGATACAGATACAGATACAGCCACGCCAGATCATGATTGATTAAGCGCGGCCCGAAAGCTGAGGCCAAAAACTCCATTTAGCCTTTGGCTCGAGGCTTGGCTTGGATCAAAAAAAATATGTATACAACAAAATAAAGTAAAGCCAGCAAAATGTTGAGCAAGGTCAACTGTAGGAGGTTGCTGGTGCTGGATGGATACTGTTCACTGGGAAAACAGCTAACTGGGTCAGAGAAGTTGTGGGAGCGCGGAATATTAGGGTAATGGGTTCGCCAAAATGATGTATGCACGTGTTTGCCGAACTAAATCAAATGTTTGCCTGCCTAATTAACTTTGGGCTATTGGTAGTGGGATCGGGTCATATGTGACCATTGGAATTCCCTAAAATGGGTAGTAAATACAAGAGATATTTGGGCTTTTTCACTACATTACATATAATCAAACGAAACAGACTTGAGCAAGAAATTTAGTAAAATTCAATTAACACATTTTCCTCATCCGCAGCATTTTGTTTACCACTTCATTGTTGTGAGCATTGGTTAAACGCGTCCCACTCGGATTTAAAATTGCATAGCTACTCGTAAATAAAAATGTGCAATTTTCCAAGGCGTG